CATACAAAGAATAGAGTAATAAGAAATAGGGATCATATAATGTAGGGACAATAAACAACATAATGACAAACTCATTATAACCAATGCAATGCAATGAAATGCAATGCATGCTAATGTCGCTCCCCATTTTCATTCTAAAACCACCACTTTCAAACGGTTAATATAACCCGCCCTTTGGTGACCTCGCAGCGACACGAGAGAAGGATTGGCTAGTGTCCCTGACCCTTGGTACCCCCGCGATATCATTATGGGGCCCTGCTAGCTCAACCATGCTAGGGCAGTTTCCTTAGTTCCCTCTAGGCTCTATGAACCCTCCGGCCCTTTGGTACCTCCGCGGCGACTAGGTTTTCACAAAATCAATTCATCAAAAACAATTTCCCCAAAACTCCCCATTTTCATATCAAAACAATATTTCCCTTTTTCATACCCAATGTTGATGGATGAATGCATCAATGTCATGTCTATGCCCATCATTCCACAACCAACTCAAATTTAATTAACAAAGCATGGTTCATAAGGATTTCCAAAGAATTTATAACATGTGGTCATACAAGAAGAATCTAGCATGATAGACATATGAAAACCGGCACTCAAACATGTTTTTCACATAGATCATTCAACACATATAATTACACAATTGAGCAAATTACATAACAACTAAGCAATTAACTAGATGCTATACAAATTAGACATGTTAAACAACCATTTATGAGAAGATAACTCACAAACGTACAAGATTGCATGGATTAATGGCCCCTACCTCTAGATTGAGCAAAACCCTTGAAATGGGTCTCCAATTTCGAAATCCCTAGGGAGGCTCAAAGCTGAAATTGTTGGTACTCATGTGTAGAGCTCGTCGTGCTTTCCGTTTTGCCTCAAACGGCACTCCAAATCACTAAGTATGGAGATGGAAATCAAAGATCAAAGCTTGTAAATCAAAAGGAAAGAAAAAGAAAATGAAAAGTGAGAGGAAGAGAAGGTTACGGGGAGAGAGAAAGAGTGAGTGAGAGAATGTGGTCTCTAGACCACTTTTGAGTTAGTGGTGGGTCCCACTCCTTTTGAATTTCTTTTCTCTTTTTCTTTAGTTTTAATTCAACACCACAAAAATAAATATATGCACCACCAAATAAATACCACATAAATCTCATGAAATAAAATGTATGAAATGCAAATGGACTCAACCACAAAAAGCGAAAAGACAGAAATGCCCTTGCGGCAACAAAATTCCAGAAAAATGGAAAAATGCAGAAAATCAGAAACATCACACTTTCATTTTATACACATGTGGGATAATAATTTTCCTTTTTCTTATACATCCTACTTTTTTGCCCGTTATGTTTTCTTTGTGCAGGAAAGCTTGTTCAACCTGGAGGTACTCTTGATATTTTTTATTTACATTATAATTATCACGTTGAGATTAGTCTGTTTTAAGTGTGATCTTGCAGTTGGGGATTTGATTATATGCATTTTCCTATTATTTTCTTATTGTTGAACATTTGTATTTGCATGTTGCAACCATCATAAATATTGCAAATATGTGCTCTTCTTATGCACCTTTTTGTAAATGAGCAAATACACTAAATTAGCATATTGGATTGGTAAATTGAAGCTTCTACACGTACTCCAAAATATTGGCCTTGATGGAATGACATCGAGAACTGATTTCTAATTCCAAATAACCTGTCTATCATGAAGTCAACATCACACTTCCTGCAGTTAGTGCATGAGCAACAACTCAAACACTAGCAATTTGTAACGTGAGTTAATAAACATGAAGCGCTTAATTCTAACGATAATTTTTTTTTCTCCTTATTACTTATGTTAGTTTTGATTTTAAAGAAAAATAATAGGAAAGGAAGCTCAAATAAGAAGGATACATTTCTTTCAGTGCTTTGCATATTTCATTTCAATATTAGATAGCATGAGCCTTAACTCATAATATTATTCTCCTTTTCTTTTAGACAATTGATTTGTAATTTTTAAAAATATTTTCCAATAATGTTTTATTTTTTATTTTTTGGTTAGAAGACCATCATTTCCTTTCTTAATATAAGAGTGGTTTTGAATGATGCAGCTTCTATTTTAAAGAATCCAATTTACCTTTTCTTTTTCCCCCAAACTCTAATTTTACAAATACTAATATGAAGTTACAGAATTAAATAAGTTATAGGCATTTTAGGAATCAAAATCTGATGGCACCATTAGGGGGTTCTACTCATAATAGCATAGATAAATTTTGACAAATATATGGGATAGTTCTGTGACATGATACTCCCAGTTCTCATAATTCATCTATGAAGTGAAAGACAATCACATTCACGACCTGAACTACCTTATAGAGTTTTAATTATGTATGATCAATGTTTTAGCATATTAGGATGGATTTGCACAAATGACTAGGTAGAGAGAAAGGCAAGGAGAGTCAAATGAGAAAGAAATTAAGTGGAAGATATGATTGTATAAAGGGGTGTTGGAGAAAGGAATCGGATAGGAAATAAAATATTACGAGTATAATTTGTTGGCTATAGTTTAAACCAACTAAATAATTTCTAAGTGAAGAGAGAAGAGAAACAAATATTGTATTGTATTGAATTCTTTGTTGTGTTGATATGCTTTAACAACAAATCCCTTGCACTATATATATTATTCTCCTATAGACCTTTGAACTTTTCAAGACAATTCTCAACCACACATATGATGCCTGCACTCACATGATACATGCACTCACTTGATACATGTACACACTTGATACATGTACCCTCTTGATACATGTACAATAACAATACATGAATAAACCCAAAATGCATAATGAACATGCATGGCATTAATTTATTTTTAACACACCCCCCTTAATGCCATGTTGTGACACCCAACAATTCTCTAAAATATTCAAACTTATTTTTTGGAAGTGCTTTGGTAAAAATGTCCGCAACTTGGTCTTCAGTTTTACAATACTTGAGTTGAATCTCTTCATTCTCCACGGCTTCTCTAATGAAGTGATGCTTGATTGCAATGTGTCTTGTGCGACTATGGAAAATAGGATTCTTTGTCATAGCAATTGCGGATTTGTTGTCACATAAAATTGGAGTAGCTTCTCTTTGCTTCTCACTAACATCTTCAAAAATTCTCCTTAGTCATATTACTTGTGACGCTGCCAATGATGCTGAAATATACTCAGCCTCGGCAGAAGATTACGACACCGTTTCTTGCTTTTTAGATGCCTCTTGTTTAATTGCTTCTTCAAAGTTCTTCAGTTCAACAACACAAAAAATTGCATACACATCATTAAGACTTTTCATTCTTCTTGGAGTTGAACTTGGAGATGAGGAATTTGAGTTTGATGGAAAAGTTGGGATTGATTGTAAGTTAGATACGGGAGACATTTCTTGTGGAACTTCAAGAAAATCTTCATTTTCACTTTCTTGATTTCTTGATTCTTCATTGAAAATGGAAATTTGATCTTGAACTTTCTTCTCTTTCCAATCCCAAGCAGCCTTCTCATTAAAGAGAACATCTCTACAAATAATCAATTTATTCTTCTTCAAATTAAAGAGTCTATATCCCTTTGATTTTGAGCTATAACCCACAAAGATGCATTTTTCACTAACTTCATCAAGTTTGTGCCTCACTTCTCTTGGAACATAAGCAAAACAAATACACCCAAAAACTTTCAAGTGGTTCAATGATGGCTTCTTTCCACTCCATGCTTCAAATGGAGTTTTATTCTCCACCGCTTTTGTTAGACTCCTATTTATCAAGTAAACAGCCGTATACACGACTTCATCCCAAAATGATTTAGGCAGCCCCTTCTTATGAAGCATTGATTTTCCTATCTCAATAATTATTCTATTTTTTCTTTCTGCCACTCCATTTTGTTGTGAAGTGTACCTAACCATTAATTGCCTCTCCAAGCCAATATCTTCACAAAACCTTTTAAACTCATTTGAGTTGTACTCTCCACCTCTATCACTTCTTAACACTTTGATAAGATGGCCACTTTGCCTTTCAACAAGCTTTTAAAATTTTTTGAAAATAGAGAACACATCTGATTTTTGTCTCATGAAATAAATCCATGTCATTCTTGAAAAATCATCAACGAAAATAATAAAATACTTGTTAACCGCTTGAGTTGGTGTTGTCATTAGTCCACACACATCGGTATGAACAAGCTCTAATGATGTTTTAGCCCTCCATGCATTCTCTTTCGGAAATGACTCTCGGTGATGCTTGCCAAGAACACAACCTTCACAAACTTCTTTAACTTCTTGTATTGTTGGCAGCCCATACACCATGCTATTTTGTTGTAAATTCTTTAAGCTTTGGAAATTCAAATGCCCAAGTCTTCTATGCTAAAGCCATGACTCATCAACAACATCCATCTTCAAGGCCATATTTTTCTAACATAAAAAAGTGAGAGGAAAGCTTCTATTTTTCCCCATCTTGATTTTTGCCACAATATGATTTTATCCTCCCTTGTCATAAATTTTGCAAGAGTCCTCATCAAAATGAATAGAGTACCCATGCTCTACAAGCTGTCCAACACTTAACAAATTTTGCTCCAAATTTGGAACAAGTAACACATCCCGAATATGTTTTCTTCCTTTTTTTGTCTCTATGGCAATAGTGCCTTTTCCCTTTGCTTAGACCAAGGCACCGTTTCCCATCCTCACTTGAGAATTTGATGAAGAATCAATCTCAAAAAATATATTTTTATCTCTGGTCATGTGGTTACTACACCCACTATTAAGAAACCACACATCATCCTTTTGTTCCAATGTCGTGTGACAAGCATAAAACATGTTCGCTTCACCTTCTTGCTCTTCGAAAAAATTAGCTTGCTAATTTGTTTTCAACCGGCAATCTTTTGAATATGTCAAAATTTCTTGCAATTGAAACATTGAAGTTTTCCTCGAAACCAACAATCTTTGTCAACATGGCTACTTCTCTTGCAAATTCCACAATTTTGTTGAGTGAACTCTATATTTCCACTTCTCTCAAAATTATTTCTTCATCTTCCTCTTCCTCTTGAATTTCTTCCTCTTCCTCTTTGAATTTTCGTATCTTCCACCTTTAGAAGATTCACCTTTGGATCGATCAAAACTTGATGGGTATTTTTCTTGATTTTTGGAACTAACATTGAGCTTGGATTGAAAAACACTCTCAATTGTCTTTTTGTAACGCCTACTCAACCTTTGCTCAAATACTTTTATGGAACCCATCAATTCTTCAACACTCAAGTTTTCAAGCTCTTTAGTCTCTTCAATAGCAGTAACAATAGAGTCATATTTTTCCGGCAAACTAATTAGAATTTTTTCAACAATTCTTTGATTAGAAATATCTTCCCCATAGGTCTTCATTTGGTTTACCACCTCCATAATTCTAGAAAAATAATCTTTCAACAATTCCATTTCTTTCATCTTCATATTTTCAAAATCTCTTCTCAAAGATTGGAGTTTTACAGTTCTTACCTTCGTGCTGCCTTTATACTCATTCTCGAGAATATCCCATGCCTCATTTGCTTTAGAAGCATTGATAATTCTGGGAAAGATTGTATCAGCAACTCCTTGTTGAATCAAGCCTAAAGCTTTTGCATCTTTCTTCTTATGATCTTTCAATTGTTGTCTTTGGGCATTAGTCAAAGTTGTTGTATCATTCGGTTCATCACTCATTTTCAACATAATTCCATAAATCATATGAGAAAAAAATTGTCTTCATCTTCAAATACCAAAAATCATAATTTTCCCCATCAAAAATGGGAAGTGATGATTGATGGGCACCTTGGTTTTGATTGCCTGTAGTCACCATCACGATCGATCTTCTTTGGGGTTTGTTTTCCCGTCAATAAGCTTCACGCCCAGTTTGCTCTTGATCGAAATCAAGCTCTGATACCACTTATGTTGGCTGTAGTTTCAACCAACTAAATAATTTCTAAGTGAAGAGAGAAGAGAAACAAATATTGTATTGTATTGAATTCTTTATTGTGTTGATATACCTTAACAACAAATCTCTTACACTATATATACTATTCTCCATAGACCTTTGAACTTTTCAAGACAATTCTCAACCACTCACATGATACATGCACTCACTTGATACATATACAATAACAATACATTAATAAACCCAAAATGCATAATGAACATGCATGGCATTAATTTATTTTTAACATAATTAGCGTAATAACTTCTATGAAGGAGCTTTCCCCGTTTTATATATGTTTTGTACTATGGCACTTCTTTCTTGGGCGTTTCTATTGCTAGAATCGAATTTCATAATTTTAGACACTTAATTTTAGTTATTTGGTAGTCCCCAACACATGACCTACGGAGTACAAATGGTAGGTGTATCAGAATTCACGCAATATGTATGTATTTGAATGTATGAATAATTGGTATAGTCTAAGATATTTGTTTTACAGAAAGGCCCGACATCAAGTCTAAGTTCAATAATATGTTATACCAACTCTTCCCCGACCCAGTCAAGGAGTTTGTTTTGAGGCTATCCTTTGTGTGTTGGGAAAATTCGATAATGCTGAGAAGTATTTTTCTTGAATTTCTAACCTCTTCTCCTTCTATTTTTTATTTTTGTTCTAGTCTTTTCTAAATTAAATTTGCATGATCTGCTGAATTATTCTTCTCTCCTAGCCTCCTTCCCCAAAACCAAAAAAAAAAAAAAAAAAAACAACTAGTTGATGGTCATTATTTTCTTAATTCATTCTAGGATGGAGGAACGAGCTGCTGGGTGGTATCGTCTTACCAGAGAAATCCTTAAGCTCCCAGAAGCACCTTCTGTATCATCAATGGAACCTAATGCTGAATCAATAGATTCCAATCTGTCAAAGCCCACTAAAGATAAATCTTTAAAGACAAGGCGTCCACAACCCTAAGAGAACTTGTAATTAGAAGGTTCGTGCTGTTTTTATTTTTTATTTTTTCCAATAGAAATTTTATTTATTTTTTGGTGGTGATGTTCTTAAAAGTTGGTGATGTGGTTGAACCGCACTTGGTTATGAGTAATATTTTTTAATTAAAGTCATGCTGGACTTCCTTTGCAATTTCCTTCAGGTTGGAAAGTTCTTCCCTCAGGTTCTCGAAGCGAGAGTTGTGTAGGAGATGGGAAAAAGTCGGGCTGCTGCTTTTTCCTTGGGTGTTCAGGATATTGATGGAGGAGTGCATGTTAATTCATATTCTGAAAATTGTGATTCAATTTATGCAGATTATGAGAACACAGTTGCCGAAGGTAGGCTTTTCTATTTTCCTTCTTGCCGGTTACATGGTATTTCTTTGCTTAAGCTCAACCTTCGTTGAAGTTTCTACAGAATCAATGGTCATCAAAATCTGATGTTTTCAGTTAACATGGTGCTAGATTATGATTAACAATGACATGTGTATACATACTTTAAAATGGTGTTACCACAATTTTACCAGTGTTAACGCTGGTGTTTTCAGTTAACATGGTGCTAGATTATGATTATCAATGACATGTGTATACATACTTTAAAATGGTGTTACCACAATTTTACCAGTGTTTTTTTTTGGTAATTTTATCTAATGTTATTTTGGAGTAATGGGGAAAAGAGTCTGACAAGCATGAAGATGCATTTCGAGCCTGTGTGCAGCCTTTTGTGCAAAAATGATACCAAGAAATAGATTTGTCTCTAGTATTCCCTTCCCAGCACTTTGTAGGTGGGGGTGGGATCTGCACTGGGTTATGCCTACTTTTATAGATATTTTGGTGTCTAACTCGATCTATTGTGGCTCCATTTCTATCTGATTGTAAGAATATGTGGCTGGAGCACCTCTTCTTGTCAAACTTTTAATAGCGGGTGGAAAATGTGGTTGTAGTTTGTCAAAATTATATTGATTATACATAGGAAGGGAGAGGTTGACGAAAATGTTACTCATAATTAGAATAAAATGGTTTAGTTGGTTGGGTGCTTTTGAAGTTCTTGCAATTGATGCATATCTTAAAATAGAAAATTTCTATAAAGCAAGTGATAGACAGACAATGCTGAGTACTTGAAAAACAATATGTTCATAAATTTAGTATAGACAATTTTCTAACATGTCATAGGCATAAATCCATCTTGTCTTGGTGATGTGTCCATCAAACTCGAGCCGTCATAGTTGATTGGTGCTTGTGTAGAAGATTCTTTTGTAGTCTATAATCTATTGAACAAAAACAAGTACCAGATGTGTAATCTAACATGGGGGTACCAAGTAGGACAACTTGCTTGGATATTTTGAGACAAGTACATTTGTTTGTGTTTGTGAATCGACACTATCGAACATGAATATTTATATCTGATTGATTTAAGAGATAACTGAGTTCTTGGATGAGTCACTTGTCTCCAATTGATGTTATATTTGGCTTGCGTTATGAACACAATAAAGGCATATACTCCTACTCAGATTGGTAAAAGATGTATTCTACATTAAGTTATTGGGTTATAAGTTTTGGTGTAAAATGATCCTCTACACAATTTATCTATGCTTGCGCATGTTAAGGAACCCTTGAGAGTTTGTAAATGCTAAAAATAATTATAAGCACAAAATGTTGTAATGCCCTTATAGTTTTGCACAAATTTTATGTAAATTAACATGGAAATTTTTCTAGATTGTAATAGTGAAAAGTATCTGAAATGGCACAATTTAATTTTATACTTCCAAGACCGGGAAAAGGGATGAGAAAATTTTAAATGTAGTTGAAAGGGTCAAATGTGGAGAGGAAAACAAATATTGCTTAATGAAGTGTTGACAGGAGAAGATGGTTCTATGTAAAATCCCAATTAGTTGGGATAAAAGGCTTATTGAGTTAAGAAGATGTTAATTGTTCACTTCTCGGTTGGTTCCTTTATTTTTCCATAATTCTTTTCTTTACATTGCTTAAATATGTAATATTTGGAATTTTGGGCCATGTATGAGAACTAGGGTTTTGTTTCATTGTTTTTCGGTTCTGTTCTCTTCTTGGTAATCTCTTCTTTTGAGTTTTTCTGTTTCAATTTGTCAAGTCAAATTATTGCTTGGAGTGAGATAAAAACTTCTCATAGTTCTTTGATATATATATATATATATATATATATATATATATAAGTCATTTAGAAGGTGACGTTATTGGATCAAATTCTCCAAAATAGGATTTGGAAAGAAGGAATAAGATACATATGTAGTAAAAGGTTTTATGTCTACTATACTGAATTTTTTGATATCCTAACTATTGATTTAGCTTCTTTGCCACTAGAACAGAAGGAACCATATTTCCTCTTTTCTTTTTTTTTCATGCATTTGAGCATATTGTTTTAAAACCACATAACTTACAATACAATATATTCAATTTGGTAGTGTTACATTCAAGCTACTTGGGAAGAGTAAACTATAGCCATTTGTCTCCTTTCTTTCATGATTCAGTGCTGAATTGTTTTGGATTAACTGATAGGGAAATTTCTTACTTGTATCCGTTGAATAGCAACCTAATTGTTTGAATATACCTTGAGAGTTGTGAATTTATCCAAATGGTCGATATCATCTGAATGCATTTTTTGTTTTGCTCCTTCCCCTGAGGGGCTTTTTTTACATGATTCCTGTCGAAAAGAAACCTAATTGTCTGAATATATTGAGTTATGAATTTATCCACATTGTGGATATCATCTTAATGCATTCTTCATTTTTGGCGCTCCCCCTCCTATAGCTCACTGCAAAGTCTCTTCTGTATCTAATGGACTTGGCAGCAAGGAAAAAATTGTGGGTTTATTGGCTTCTTTAATGGAAGTAGTGCAAAGTACTGTTGCATGGGAATGTTTTTATGTTCGGGAAATGGTAGTCGATGCATTGATCTGGATCCAAAGTCCACAGAGATCATTTGATGAACTAGAATACATTATTGCGTCAGAACTCTCTGATCCAGCTTGGCCAGCAACGCTATTCATGTTGCATGCTCGTTTTAAGGTACTTGGCATGCGTCAAAGATATTTTATTTATTTATTTTATTTTGAGGCATAAATGATGTTTCTTTTGGCAGTCCTTGTTCATTTGCATTTTCTTATCTAATCATATTCCCTGCTATACATTATTACAATGATATATATATTTCTTCATTTGTAACTTCATGCATTCTTAAAGACGAACAATTTTTTATGTAATTATTGAACACCAATTTCACCTGTATGAATTGTAATTTTTAATGCTTGTATTGCCCAAGTGGCATTTGACAGATTGACAAGAACATTTTTTGCGCCTTAAAAATAGGTTATTCTTCTTTTTTTCTGTTTTGAAGGAATCAGTTGATCACACATTCATCTATCTTTTGGATCACAATTTATGTCCCATTTTTTTCTTTTTTTCTTTCTATATGATCATGGATTCTTTTATGGTTAGGTTCTATTAGGGTCTTTCTGTTTGCAATTATGTGGAGTACAAGGAAGATTTTGGGGGAAAGATTATTGGTTCTTTAAAGGGTCAGTTTTGGATATTGAAAAGTTACAGAGATAACAAATTATTTGTTTTGTTTATGTGGTTTTACTTCAATATCTACAGATCTGTGACTGGACTAAACAACTAAAAAATCATTATAGTTATTTGGAGTTCTGTTCTTCCATTTGAAATTATCCATGTTCTTTTTGGGAGTTGGTTGCTTCCTGTCCTGGCCCTGTTTTTTCTTCCCCTTACTTTTCAAATCTAATATAATTTTTAAAAAATATTTAAAGGTATTGTTATGTGATATAATTACTAATTGATATCATGTTTTAATGGTACTCCATTCGTGTAGAATTTAACAAAGTATTTAGTCCTTAGACAGATGTAGACTAAAGAGAAAATTTTATAGGACCGTTATTAGACCAACTATGGTGTATGGAGTGGATTGTTGGGACATAAAAAAAGAAACAAGAACAACGCCTTCATGTAGTAGAAATGAGAATGTTAAGATGGATGAGTGGTGTGACTAGAAGAGATAATAGGGTCACTAATGAGATTGTGAGACGAAAAATTAGGTAGCACCCATTGGTGGGAAAGTTAGAGAGTAGAATTAGATGGTTTGGACATGTACATGAGAAACCTATAGATGCGCTGGTCAAACGAGGAAGGCTAGTTGCAATAGAAGGTAAGAGAGGGAGAGGGCGTTCAAAAATGACATGGGAAGAGGTTATTAAAAAGGACTTTAAAAAATTAAATATTGTAGGTGAAATGGCATGTAATAGAAGAGATTGGGAGAGAGAATCCATGGGGCCTACCCCATTCATATGGGATTAAAACAAGGATGATGCTGATGAGGATGATTTAGTCCTTAGAGTGACGTGCTGTTGGTTGAAACATAAATTTATAGTGCAAAAAAATATTTATTTTTAAAAAATTTATAGTATGACATGCATTTTACAATACTTTTTCTTATTAAGATCGTATTCAGCATTCTATAAAATTTATCACAGCTTGTAAGAAAATATCTTTTGTTGCATAATTAAGCTTTATCACTAAAAAATTTAGTTTTGAATACCTCACATGAATTTATATGTTCCCTTATATTACACATGCTTATGGTGTAATGTACTTGTCACTTTCCTTTTTGTTTCATTGTTGACTTATTAGGCCACTCCAAATATGGCTGTCACTCCGCTTGAAATTGCGAGAGAATTTGCTACTAAAGTGCCTGGGAAGATTGATGTTGATGTGCTTCAACTACTGGGGAAAGTACGTTCACACTCAATCCCCGTGTCTGCTATACTTTTTCTCACTGATGCAAGATTTCTATATTTTTTTATTTTTGTCATTATCTATTGATTCTCTTGTGTTGAACTATATCTCTTCCATTTTTCATATACGGTTTGTTGGTAGCAAAGTGGAACAATGTTCATGACTTATAATTCATTGTCTTTTTTACTTATTTATTTTGTATGTCATTCAAATAAGCAGGTGGAATAAGTCTAATGTAGAAAAATTATGCAAACTATAAGATTATATGAAAGAGATAAGTAAGAATACAAGAAAGAAGATGAGCTATCCTTCAGAGGATAACAAACCAATCTTCATTGAGAGAAAATTGGCCCTCATATAATGAATTTAAAGAACAAGCCCCTTTTTTAGCCAAAGAGTCTACTTTTTCTTTGTTGATGTTGGGATCCATTTGATTTCCACCTCCAATGAAGTAAACAAATAAAAAATCTCTCTCAGAATATGATTATATTGCCAAGGCTCAAAAAGTCCCAATCTAATCCACCCTACCACCAATTGAGATCGCCATCAATTAAACAATAATGCAAGTCAAGGCATACACTGTTCTTAGATCTTCAAAAGGGTAGAAAACATGAAATGGTGTTTCAGGGCCTCCCCGAGGTACCCCTAATGCAAAAGCTAGGGATTACTAAGGTAACTAGCACCAAGGTTATCGGGTATTGTGGCAGGGTTCATCTAATTGGTATTCATTTTATTATGGGCCATATACTAAACAAAAGAGCCTTGACTTTAGGAGTAACCTAGGCCTTACAGATAAGGTTTTCTGCAAAGAAGGAATAGTTTTCAGATTTTGAAAGATGTCAAAAATAAGATTTAGAATTAACAGTCTCACTGAATTTTGATCTCAAGCATGTCTCACTTGGCCTAAAGATGATATACATATCTCCTTAGGAAGGGGGAATTTGACGAAAGCTCAATATTTTCCTGACCATTCAATTTTTGGAAAGAGTGGATGTCCCAAAAGTGAACAGGATGACAATGGACCCCAGAAAATAGGGGACCCTTGAAGCCTAGATATTCTAAAAGGACAAGGGAAGGCCCATCTAGTTAAGGATCATTCACTGATGCCACAACCTAAAGAACAATCTAACCATCTATTACTTTCACATATGGAACTTTCTCCTTTTTTCCACAAGTGTTTAAAATTTTTTCCTTGTTGACTCATGCCCTAGAATTGTACACTCTTGATCATACTTCCTGCTGTTTTTTGTTCTCACTGTGTTTCCTGCTCATACATGTTAGAGTTGATTCCCCATTTTACATTTGGCTGACATGCTGTCATGGTTCTATTACTTTAATTGACCTTGTAAACGACTTTTGTCACTTTAAAAGGTCTCTCAACCATCTCTCTCCCTTTCAGGGTCATCTTTGTTGTATGTCAGCCGTCCATCTGGTATTTAGATAGGAAGTGGCCTATAGTAGAGTAACTTTGAAAATATATAAGCTTTTGTTGCGCTTATGATTTGTTAATGATTTTTACTAACCACATTTCTATTTAATGATTGTTCAAATTGCAGACTTGTCTTGTTGGAGCAGGTCATGGATCAATAGATAGGGTATCTGCCTCTGATCCGAAATCGGCTCTGGCATTACAGAGATTAGTCCAGGCAGCTGTAAGCATTTTATATTATCAGTAGGTTCATTGATGAGTATGCTTAGTTCTGATAACCCCAAAAAAGGGTGCGGACTAGGTTCATTCTTCTTTTATTAGTCTATGAAATAATACACTTGCAGGTAATGTTTCTTGGAGAAAATGTGAATTATGCTGCTTCTGAATATGCTTGGGAATCTACAACCCCTCCTGGAACTGCATTAATGATGCTAGAAGCTGATAAATTGGTTGCTGCTGCCATTTCTCGTAATCCTACTCTGGCCGGTGCACTGACTCAGCCCCAAGGGTGTGCTTTCAGTGGTACCTGGGAGGTATAAGTTTTCACCTTGGCATTCCCCAGAGAGATTGTCTCTCATAATGTCAAACATATAAAAAAATTTATAAGTCAAGTAGTCAACTCGTTCTTTGCATACTCCATGCTTATGATAAATGATCTTTATGTGTCGGTTTAAATTGTTCAACTTTTAAATTATGAGAGTAAAGGTCATAATATATATTGCACCACGTATTGACAGTTCCAAAATTCCTTGTTGAAGGAAGAACAAAGCACCCAAACATCTCTCTCTCCTCCTCCGCACATTTGCAAAAGAGAGGTGGTTTATTTTTATATTTTTTGTTTTTTATTTTAACTTTGCAACAACTTTGGAATGAATATTGATGATTAAGAGCTTGAGGATGAGGAGACAGATTATTGTGAACTAGTGCTGCATGTGGAAGAGGGATGAGAAGTTGGTGAACCATCTACTTCTTCATTGTCTAGTGGCTCGGGATAGCTTGGCCATGCTCTTGGGTTTGTTCGGGGTATACTGGGTAAGGCTTTTTACGATGATGAGCTTGCTTGAGACTTGGAGAGATTGTATAGTGGGGGTTAATGGAGGGCCGACACCTTTGTGCTTATGGTGGTGGATTTTGTGGAGGGAGAGTAGACTCCTATTGGGGTGCTTAAGTTCTCTACTATTAATTCTTTCTTCTTCTTTTTTCTTCGTGTTTTTTTTTTTTTTGGATGCTTTACTTATCAAGATATGTAAAAGAGAGTTGATGGTTGTATATTTGGTTACTGATATGAAATAATAAGTTAGAATTCTTATCTTTCATGGATTCAGTGATGATGCATGTATTTGAAGTCTATAATAAGTATGGTACTATAATTTTCTTCATTTATACTAGATTTTAACCAAGTTTTTTATTAATGCTGTCATTGTTACGCTTACACTTGTCACTATAGATGTTGGTCCTCTTAGGTATGATTGGAGACTTTTGAAAATGACGAGTTGTTTTTCAAACAATTGAGTGGCCTTTAAATTCCTCTGTCTCAAACGGTTGACCAATATATTTTATAAATACATATAACACAGATTGATACATATATAGAAAAAGTAGGATGAAAATGATGGCCTCCTCTCAGGGGAGATTTGAGGTGCACCCTATCGAGTTCGCTTTGAGTGTTTGGGGGCATTCATTCCCAAGGAATGCAGTTTGGTGCATCTAGTGTTGTCAAAGGCGCAACCTGTGCCTGCTGTGTGCCCAAACACGCCTTTGACAATATTTATGTCTTTAATGTGGGATATGAATACTTTAATAGTAATTTAATTTTTTCATTGTGCACCTCGCCTTGTTTCTAGGTTCCAGAGGACATCTAGTGCCTTGGTGCACCTTGGGCCTTTGATGACAATGGGTGCATCAAGTCTACCCTTAATGTGGATTTATATATATATACATATTCCTTGGACAACAACTCTGGAGTGGATATTGATGATTGAGAGCCTAGGAGAAGACATAACTAGAGTTAATATGGCTATTTAATTAACACGTGACATAAATCAAGAGTGACACTTGTTGCTAATAAAATAAAAGGAAGGCCGGTTTAGGTTGTCTAGACATGTATAATTTTGACCTGTGGATGCACCGTTAAGAGAAAAAGAAGATTAGTTTCAAGAGGAATAAAATAAAAGTAGGCTAAACAATTTGGATAGAATAATTAGATTTGATTGGAAAAAAATAAATATAATGGGTGAGAGAGATCTCAATAGTAATGAATGAAATAAGATAATAAATATGGCCTATTCCATTTATGTGTGATACAGGGAAGGATAATTGTGATGATCATAAACTTACGGAAAAAGAAGAATGATAGAATATGTAACGACCCACTCCACCACATGGTATGATATTGTCCGCTTTGGGCCTGAGCCCGCACGGTTTTGCTCTTAGGCTTCACCCCAAAAGGCCTCATACCAATTGGAGGTGACACACTTACATATAAGTACTTCACCTTTCCTCTACCCAGGCGATGTGGGACTGTGCACCCGTAGCTCGCCAGTGTGGTAGCCTGACAGTGTCTCTCGCACCCGCCCACGGCACACCCGCCCACAGGGTCATCACAATCCACCCCCCTTGGAGGCCCGACGTCCCCGTCGGCACACTTCCGGCTGGGTCAGGCTCTGATACCATTTGTAACGACCCACTCCACCACATGGTATGATATTGTCCGCTTTGGGCCTGAGCCCGCACGGTTTTGTTCTTGGGCTTCACCCCAAAAGGCCTCATACCAATTGGAGATGATGCACTTACATATAAGCACTTCACCTTTCCTCTACCCAGGCGATGTGGGACTGTGCACCCGTAGCTCGCCAGTGTGGTAGCCTGACAGTGTCTCTCGCACCCGCCCACGGCACACCCGCCCACAGGGTCATCACAATCCACCCCCCTTGGAGGCCCGACGTCCCCGTCGGCACACTTCCGGCTGGGTCAGGCTCTGATACCATTTGTAACGACCCACTCCACCACATGGTATGATATTGTCCGCTTTGGGCCTGAGCCCGCACGGTTTTGCTCTTAGGCTTCACCCCAAAAGGCCTCATACCAATTGGAGGTGACACACTTACATATAAGTACTTCACCTTTCCTCTACCCAGGCGATGTGGGACTGTGCACCCGTAGCTCGCCAGTGTGGTAGCCTGACAGTGTCTCTCGCACCCGCCCACGGCACACCCGCCCACAGGGTCATCACAATAATAAGGGCTCATTAGACCCATGGCCATAACAAAAGGGTAGTGCACTCCCAAATAAGTAGGTCCCTGACCATACCCAAAAGTCATCATAGGATCAACCCCTGACTACCCATTCGACTAATCCAAACTCATCCATTAATTATTAATTATGATAAATTACGAAATATATTATCAATTAATAATTTAAATTAATAAGTAATACACCCAAACACACTTTTAATTTAAAAAATAGAACTCTAATGACCCAACCACTTAGAGTACTAAATTCTGGACATAGTCTAATATTTTTAGAATAAGAATACTATTTTTCCTTATTTCCTTTAGTTTAAAAAATCAATTGAAAAGAATAATAATAAAATATAAAGAAATAGTATTTTATTTTATTTCCTTTAATCAAATTGTATTTTATTTCAATTTATTTTCAATATCAATGAAATATGAAAAATAAGAGTAACTTGCAATTTAACCCAGCCATCACGTGCGTACGAGTCACTGTAATTATGGGCTAAACTCAGATGTATAAAATATCAAATAAACATATGTATAAACAAATGCCATTGATGCACGCATTATCCAGTCCTGCTACGTGATTGACATGAACCAAAGTAATCATGTATACAATGCAATACTCTCTATATCTATCAATCACAAACAGACAGTCTCTAAACTCAATTTTCGCAAGTTATATATATATATATATATATAGGTAAGAATGACCAAAAAGTAAGAGTATTCAAATTAGTTAATATTAAATCATATAAAAATCCTAATCAAGTTGCAATACTACTGCCAACTATAATCCGATGCATACAATCACTTAAGAATTCTAAAGGCATACTAGATTAAATTTAAGAAAAATTCAAAGTTACACCCTAACCATTCCATCCCAATTAGACTCATAATGTACCAGCAATCCAATCAATATCTTAAGAAATTTATCTATCAACCTGTATCATCAGTAACCTAAATTATGGGACTTTGATTCGGATCATCAACTATTTTATATAACAAGATTAGGATCGTACAATTTCGGTTCAATCAAAAAAAAATGCAGACAAGGCTTCAATTCCTAATTCACATGTTCGTTTCTAATCATATATACATATATCCATATAAAGATGCTTGCTTTCATCTACATGCCTACATGAATTATACATACATGTATATATATAGATCCAAAGTTAACATACATAATAGACAATTTATAATTCTATGATCCAGTCCTCGAACCATATCTCATAGACTACATCAGACAAATTGTTCATAACAATAACTAAATATTAATAATCATTCTGATTATTTTGGTGAGATCAATAAATCGTAACATGTAGACTTATATTTCAATTTACTAATATAATAGTAACATAACCAATCTTTACAAATTTAACAAAACCAATAACCAAAGTTTCTACAATTGAATTTTTATCTAATCTTTAGTAATAAATAATTCTCGTCCAATTAAATTCAAGACAACAACCTATACAACTATATTATCCTAATCATAACTATCATTAAGTATATATATATATATTTTTTTCCTACTATTTATTAAAACATACAAAATTCATCAAAAGCAAGTTCCAAATATATATAAGAGTACAATGCAAGATTAACTTGCCTGGTATAAATAATTCTTCCTTTCTACGCGACTTCCCGATTACCGTTCCTTTCCCCCGGCTACTGCAGGAAAACACGACGTCAAATCACTCTCTCTGGTCCCTTCTTCTCCCGTTATCGTGCTAATATATCTTTTTTTATATATATAAATAAAACGTATTAGAGAGTTATAGAGATATAAGGAGTCTGGTGAGATAAATTAGTTTTTTTTTTAAATTTAAATTATTTAACAAACTTTATCACAATCACCCATTTAAATTAAAACAGAGATAACCATTAAATTATATTAAGTAAATAAATATATGATATAAATATATATATATGTATTTTACACGGGTCTTACATTCTACCCTCCTAGAAAGAAATTTCGTCCTCGAAATTTGCGTACCTTATTCGAATAGATGTGGGTACTTTCCCTTCATTTCTGACTCTAGCTCCCAAGTAGCCTCTCTCTCATCCTGATGATTCCACTGTACCTTCACCAGAGGTATCTCTGCCCGCCTCAACTGTTTCACCATACTGTCAACAATGCGAACAGGTGTCTCAACATAGGTCGTATTAGGGCAAATCTGGACCTCTGTGCAGTCAATGACCTGAGTTTCATCCCTCAAGCACCTCCTCAACATAGAGACATGGAAAACATCATGAACAGCTGATAGTCTAGGTGGTAGAGCCAATCTATATGCCACCACTCCAACCCTCTCTGTGATCTCAAAAGGTCCAATGAATCGAGGAGCTAACTTCCCTTTCTTCCTACCAAATCTCGTAACCCCCTTCATTGGTGATACTTTCAAGAACACCAAGTCACCCACGCTAAACTCCAAAGCACGACGGCGTCGGTCTGCATAACTCTTTTGTCGACTCTGAGCTGTGCGAAGTCGATCTCGAATGATGGCAACCTTCTCCGTAGTCTCTTGCACCAACTCTGGCCCCAAAAAACTACCATCACCAACCTCAGCCCAACATACAGGTGAACGACAAGGTCTACCATAAAGTGCCTCATATGGTGCCATGCCGATACTAGCCTGATAGCTATTATTATAAGCGAACTCAACCAATGGTATGTGATCCTCCCAACTGCCCCGAAAATCTAGCACACAAGCACGAAGCATATCCTCCAACACCTGAATGACCCTCTCAGACTGGCCATCGGTCTGAGGATGAAAAGCAGTACTCAAACTCAAAGGAGTACCAAAAGCTGCTTGGAAACTACTCCAAAATCGAGATGAAAAACGAGGATCACGATCTGAGACAATAGACACCGGCACTCCATGAAGCTTAACTATGTCTCTAATGTAGATCTTACACAATTCCTTTACAGTATCAGTAGCTCGAATGGGTAGAAAATGAGCTGATTTAGTCAATCGGTCCACTATCACCCATACTGTATCATGGTTATGTATCGACCTCGGTAACCCCACTACAAAATCCATCGTCACATGCTCCCATTTCCACTCAGGCACAGGCAAAGGCTGTAATAGTCCTGCTGGTCTCTGGTGCTCAGCTTTCACTCGCTGACAAGTGAGACATCTAGATACAAACTCTGCCACATCACGTTTCATGCCTTCCCACCAGAACTGCCTCTTAAGATCATGATACATCTTAGTGCCACCTGGGTGCACTGTGTACCTAGAGTGATGTGCCTCCTCTAAAATCTCTCTCTTGAGGTCTGCTAAGTCTGGAACACATAGCCTACCTCGAAATCTCATACCACCATCAGCTCCATATGTCCAGTCAACATTACCTTCATCATTAACAGCCTCAACTGCTTTGGTCTGTAACCTGTCATCCTGAGTCTGAGAATGAATGATCCGGCTGATCAAAGTAGGTTGTACAGTCAAACTACAAAGAAGAGCCCCTGTACTCTGAGAACTCGGCATTATAGAAAACTCTGCCAATGCCTCTAACATCATCCACTCCTGAATCATCATAAAGGCAACTAATCCTCTCGGTTTTCGACTCAAGGCATCCGCTACCACATTAGCCTTTCCAGGATGATACTGAAGGGTCATATCAAAATCCTTCATCTTCTCCATCCACCTCCGTTGCCTCATATTCAACTCCTTCTGAGTGTAGAGGTATTTGAGGCTCTTGTGATCAGAGAATAACTCAAATTCCTCGCCATACAAGTAATGCCTCCACACCTTCAATGCAAGAACCACTGCTGCCAATTCCAGATCATGTGTAGGGTAATTCTGCTCATGTGGCTTAAGCTGCCTAGAGGCATACGCTACCACCTTGTCATCTTGCATCAAAACACAGCCAAGACCCTGATGTGATGCATCTGTGTAAATCACAAATCTCTCACCACTAACAGGAATGGTAAGAACTGGTGCCGAAGTCAATCTCGTTTTCAACTCCTCAAATGCCTGCTCACAGCGGTGATCCCAAACAAACTTCACATCCTTCCGAGTCAAACGGGTCAATGGTGCAGCAATCTTGGAGAAACCTTTAATGAAACGCCTGTAGTATCCTGCCAGTCCTAAGAAGCTACGAATCTCAGTGACAGTAGTAGGCCGTTTCCAACTCATCACAGCCTCCACCTTGGCAGAATCTACTGAAACTCCATCCTTAGAGATCACGTGCCCCAAAAACTGAATCTGCTCTTGCCAAAAGTCACACTTCTCAAACTTAGCATAGAGCTGATGCTCACGCAAAGTCTGAAGTGTAATGCTCAAGTGTCTCTCATGTTCCTCCTTAGTCTTGGAATATATCAGAATGTCATCAACAAATACCACAACAAACTGATCCAAGTAAGGTCGAAACACTCGGTTCATCAAATCCATAAAAGCTGCCGGAGCGTTAGTCAGCCCAAAAGGCATGACTAAAAACTCATAGAGGCCATAACGAGTCCTAAAGGCAGTCTTAGGAATATCCTCATCCCTAATCCTCAGCTGATGGTACCCAGTCCTCAAGTCAATCTTAGAGAACAACTGCGCCCCTCTGAGTTGATCAAACAAATCATCGATGCGTGGCAATGGGTACTTGTTCTTAATAGTGACCTTATTCAGCGCACGGTAGTCAACACATAAGCGGAGTGACCCATCCTTCTTCTTGACAAAAAGAACAGGTGCTCCCCAAGGTGATGTGCTAGGTCGAATAAACCCCCGATCTTGCAACTCTTGAGTCTGTTTCTTCAACTCACTCAATTCAACTGGCGCCATTCTGTAGGGTGCCCTAGAGATAGGTGAAATACCAGGAGTGAGGTCGATGCAGAAATCCACTGCCCTCCTAGGAGGCAAACCTGGAATATCCCGAAACACATCTGCATACTCTGACACTGTAGGCAACTGATCTATAGTCACGCATTGCTCAACCACCTCGATGTGGGCCAGAAATCCCATAGTCATGGTGCCCTCAAACTCCCCACACTTATATCGAGAAGGAAACTGTCCCGGAACTGAGAATACAATAATCCTCTCATGGCAGTCCAACTGAGCATGATATCTAGCCAACCAATCCATACCCAGTATAGCGTCAAATTCTCTCATACGTAATACTATTAAATCAATAGGATACTCCAACTCCCCAATTGTAACAGGGCAAGCACGACATATTCTATCAAGTGTCGTCGCGCTCCCGAGTGGAGTTGTAATAGATAAGGCATTACTTATATGTCCAGGTTCTAATCCCAGTGTATTCACAAATGATAGTGCAATAAAAGAAAATGAAGAACCTGAATCAAATAGTACTCTAGCTATACTGCCATAAATAGTAAGTGTACCTTCCACTGCTGGTGGTGCACGATCCTGTCTCCCATCTGGAACAACTGCATAAACCCTTGCACCTCCTTGTTGATGTGGTGCCTGACCTTTCTGCTGGTTATTCTTGTGAGGCTTGGGACAATTACGAGCCAAATGTCCTTGCTCACGACAATTGTAGCAATGCCCGCTGAACTGATATGGCTGTGCATCATGAGGTGTGGCTGGTACTAAAGCTGTGGATTGCTCACCTTCACCAACTCTCTGCCGTTTCCCTGCTCGCCAATCTTGTCTACCTCTCTGCCAAGACTGACCCTGCCAGTTTCTCTGAGTCTGCTGCTGCTGCTGACCCCTCTGATTCTGTTGAGAGTTACTCTGATTCTGTTGAGTGTTGCTAGTCCCCTTACCTTTCTGTTCTGCCCTACGCTCCTTCTGTTTCTGAAAGGCAATATTATTATTCTCCTCTACTGCCATAGCACATTCCACCACTCTAGCATATGTGTCAAAACGATGACCCACCACAAACTTCTTCACATAAGAGACCAATCCTCGCTCAAACTTTCTAACCTTGTGTAACTCATTCGCAACAATGTGAGGAGCGAATCGGGATAGCTCTGTAAACTTCCTCTCGTACTCACTAACTGACATCTCATTATTCTGTTCCAGCTGCGTGAACTCTGCTGCCTTCTTTTCCTTCACTGATTGTGGAAAGTATTTGTCATTGCCGATTGCCCTTTACTACGTTGTTCTACTTCGTAAAGACCTCAACTCCTATAGCATATTTAACCACGACTTTTCTTATTGTTGACAAAAGACTTTTGGTTTACCTTAAAATTTGGTTTAAGCCTGAATTTGGACATCCTTACATCTTCGCCGGTCAAATTTGTCTGACTGAATTTTTGTATTATTAGCGGCAAATGATGATGAGGAACACTTGTGAGAGGCGGCGATGGCTTAATTAGCAGCCGTACTTTTCGTACTGATGCGGTTAAGAATAAGTTTCCAAGTAAGTGTGTTTATGATACATGTGTCTTAACTTTTCATTTGAATGATAATTTTAGTACATGTGATCCCTGCTTGAGCGCTAGTTTATAATACGTTACTTATCCTGCTCCAAAAGCTCTATTTATAGCTTATGAGCTTAGAGCCTAATGCAGTTTTATATTTTCATTGTTTAGGTTGCACTTCTCTGTTCATTTGAATTTGGCTGGGAGCTTCTTATAGATTGAAACCCTCTAGTTTTAAAACAGATTAAAAAATAAAATAAAAATGATGAGGGGAAGATTTATAAATCTTATCTCTAGGTATCCTGGTGGGATTCAAATGAATACATAAGACATAGATACTATTTGTTCGGATATTTCATATGTTCAATCTATAGTTGTTGCCATTTATGTTACCCAGACTTGGGTATGGGTACGGGTTCGTGTCTAGGGGTCAGATTCATCAATCTATCACTTTACAGGAAATGGAGATTTGGCTTAAAAGTATCCAATATTTGGACACGCCACTTCGGCGAAGAAGAAAATTTGTAAGCCTTTTTTTTTTTTTTTTTTGTGAGACATCAGTTTTCTAATGAAAATAAAAAAATAAATATATTAGCTGTACTTTTTGATAGAAAATTTTATTTTATTACCTTATTCATTTGGCTCATTTGCAAAGTCAAAGTGTCTTTATAAAGGGAGAACAAACAACAAAAGGCACAATATTGTATATAGATACTATACATATTACCAAAAGTAAAGTACAACACACCTGTAAACTATTAGACTTTTCACTTTTGTTAAAAGGCCAAATGTCTTATATCTAAATTAGGATGAATTGAAATTGAATAAGAAATAGAAAAGGAATGAGAAAAGAATCATCTAAATTAGGATGAATTGAAATTGAATAAGAAATAGAAAAGGAATGAGAAAAGAATCATCTTATATCTAAGTAAATTGTAATGCAAATTGGAGTACGTTTCACAATTGTGTTTTTTGAAAAGTGAATTGCTTTCAAAAACAAATGAGAACCATGCTAGTAATGAAATAAGGTCATTAAAGTAGCACCAGCATATAAAAATGAGGACCGTTATTGCCATCAGGGCTTGCTCAAGCCCTAATCGGAATTGAGTGCGAATATAACGGGCCAGCTTTGGTCTATTTGAAATGTTTTGCTTGTTTTGCTGGGCTGCGCCTTCCTGTGTAGTCAATTTTTTGGGCTTGTTTGGCTTGTTGCTATCTCGGTGAATGCCATGCTGTAATTTTTCTCAATCTAAACCACACTTCTAAACACTATATTTTTAAATATTCAAAGTGATCATCAAGTTAGGATCTCAACTACCTTCCGAAAAACAATGATAGGACCTCTTAAACAAGTTCGTATTTCGAACACAATGGTCGACCAGCACAATCCAAATAATTAAGAAAGGATTTTGTAGGGCCAGAGTCCTAGTTGTGCAGTACGATTTGTGGAATTGGTCAACTGATTGCAAATGCCTGCCCCTAAAACCTAAATTTGCAGCACAATTAAGATTTTTTTTTCGGTCTAGTGATTTTTTTATGAAATAGCGGAGGTATAACTGGACCGTAAGTTACTTAACCCTTAGGTTGCAATACAATTATGAAATTCTCATTAAAAAAAAATAAAGAAAAAGAAAATGAAAGTGACAAAAATGTGAGCAAGTGGCATAACAAACAGAAGGTAAATTGCTTAAAAGTTTATAGTGACAAATAAAGAATAAAAATGATGTAATTCAAAGTTACATGTACAATATCAGATTATAGGCAGCCCCGGCCCAAACTGATTTGAGAGAATCCAGTTGCTTTAAAAAGTTGTGAATTTAATGGGAAAATTAAATATAGTCTGGAAACACACACGAGTAGAACCATCAGCACAGGGAAATAATTTGGAGGTTCTGCAACCATCTTCATGTCTCCCAAAGAAAGAAGCTGCTATTTTAATAGTTAGAGCTATAAACACCTTCTTCTTTTAAGCATGGCCTGATTATATGCTCTGTTTAATCTACTTTGCTTGCATTAAATTATCAGTTTCCGAAAGGTGCAAAATCTGCTTCCTCTAGAGTATCTTAATTAGGTATTTATACAAATATAGTTTTGTGCATCCTAAAGCCACTGTAGATTCATCACTTAAATTGGTAAAAATATAACCTGAATTAATCTATTTATTATGATTTTTTTAATAGAAGGAAATCTAATTAGACAAGAATAAATTTAAAGAAAATAAAATAATTTGAAACTTACGGGTAGTTATCATGTGGTCTTCCAATTCTATCTTTCCACATGTCTTCTCAACTATATTCTTTAACCCACTTTGATCTCACGTTTTAACTCACTTTGTTTTTTTTAAGAATCTGAAGTAGCTATCCAGAAAACTACGTAGTTTCCTCATCTTTAATTGTTCCCCAAAACTTGTGCCATATGTTATTCTTACAACCATTTCGTTAGATGCACTAACACTTCAAATTTATTATAATATTGGGGTATATTCTGAGCAAGTGTGATCGGCCACATTTCAAGTAATCATAAAATCAGTTATATTTCAAGATATCGGTCACATTTCAATCTTCTAATAATTAATCGATAATTATAGTACAAACACTTGTAATACAGAGCTATTTGATCTAGCACCGGCTTCATGGAGACCCAGATTCAGCTTGTTCCAGTCCACGCACCAAGGATTATGATTAACATATCATTACTGTATAATGATTACCATCTTTCAATATTATATATATATATATATATATATATATTACGAGATGAAAACCGATAAAATTCTTCAGCATATTTAGCAATCGTTCTACTTACCAGCGTAGGACTGATATTTCTGATAAAGAACCTGTTCGTTATGAATCATGGTATCAATGTTAAGTTCATGTATCATTTATGAAGTTGGAAACGATACTGAAAAAACACCAAGAAATTTTGAATACATCGCCTGCTCCTAAATGCATTTTTGTTTAGTTTTTTTGTTTAGTTTTGTGTGCCGATCTACTTTGGGTCTGTTTAGTAATATGAATTAATTCCTACTTTCTGCTGTCAATTCTGAGAAAACAAAAATAAAAGTAAAATCACGTTTATTAAATTACTTTTACTTTTTCATTTTAAGGAAGTAATTTCTAAATTTGTAAAGAGAAGAGTTCTCACTTTCTCTATTTTCTGTACTGTGCGGAGAAAGTATTTTTGATACTGTAGCGCTAAGTAAAAACACTGTAGCGCTAACTTTGAAAGATAAAATCTGTCCTCATTTATGTCATCATCTCAATGACGCAACCCTAGCATCTCGCCCTCAGATCTGCTTCTACCAAGGCGATTCTTCATCCCTTATCTGCGACCGTCGATCGGCGAAGGAGACTCAACGGCCAACCAACAACAACACCTGTAAGTTCGCCTTCTCTTCTCAGATTCTATCTCTCCTCGTATATGAAAATTTTGCCCTAGAATCTACAATTTTTTTTCCTGAATCATTTTGCAAATGGCTTGATGAGCTGCCGCCCTTAGGTGAGAGCTATACAGAGTAAACTTTTGGTGAATTTTGGATCTGTGATGCATGGTAGATCTGTTATATATTTCGTGGGCTCTATTTGATTCTATAGTAGTAACTCTCAAGGAAAACCGAGTCTTGTTTGGCCACACTTCACAAGCTGATAGTTGGTTCTATTTGATTGGCTTTTGAAACTTTTCCATTTGAATGTTTTCATGAAATTCATCTGGTCTTTCTTTATTTATTTTTTTAATTTGAAAATTCTGCCTAAAATTTCGTCCATTTTTGGTTGACCATGTGATAAGAAGAATGTGAATAATCCTTGCTGCACTCTACTTCCACGCATATCAGCAGGTAAGCATTTCAAAAGTTGTGTTTCTTTCATTTCCTTTTTTAGTCAAATTTCATTTGTTCTTTAAGATCGCTTAGTTTATTTTTCTAGCACCTGCCCTAGCAGCTTGTTCAAGTTGTAAATTTAAAATACAGCATTCATTGTAATTTTATCCCAAATTGTTTGAACTTTTATCATCTAGCACAAAAATGCATACTGCTAGAAAGATAAGTTGAATACATTGACAAATTCAAATGAAATTTTGCTTTTTATGTTGTTGCTTATATGAGAATTTTTGGTCAATCTTTAATATACTTCTGGTTATTTGATTCCAAATCTTGAGTGATTTTGAACATGTAGCTCTGTAGAAAATGTTGGACACTAAAATTTTCCTTTAAGGTGCTAATTTCACCTCCAGATGGGTATACTATCTGGCAGTGTGCATCTTCCTATTTTTTAATTTATTTAGGAAAAATATTTGTAAGACATTAAAATGGTTGAGATTATTCAAAATTTTCTACCTACATCATTAGAAAAGAATTGTCTCTACTTATTTGTTTGCTTGCTTGCGGAATTATTTTCTAATAATTTTCCTTTTTTTATTTGGTAATGAGCCATAAATGATTTATCTTTTTGTGAAAAATAAAATAAAGAGCAGACTAATGACATTTACTTTAATAATTGTGAAAAAGGGTTTTACGTAGGCTTAGCAATTATAGCCATGCATTACTAATATGTAAGTTTTGGGTGTAACCCAAAAAAATAGAAGAAATCATTAGCCTCAACTTTTAAGTTGATTATGAAGGTTGAATTTGTTTCTTCTATGATTAAATTTAATCACCAATAATGTCAAGGCTAAAATAATTCGGTAGTTTTATTTGTTAATAGACTTTATAAATGCCAAAATGCAATAGATATAAAAAGATATAAAATAATGTAAATTACTAAAAGCAAAAACAGAAATTTATTATTTTTTACTAAACACACTTTCTGTGTTTTGCTTTCAAATTTCAAAAGTAGACAGCAGTTTACTAAACACACTTTCTGTGTTTTGCTCTCAAATTTCAAAAGTAACTCGCAGTCTACTAAACATAATTTTATTTTCTGTTTCACCTCAAAGAAATCAAAATTATGATTTTACTTTTCGAAAAAATGAAAGTAATAATGTATTTCTTTCTCCATCTCTCTTCTCCAAAGAACCAGTCTGAACGTCTCTCTTTCACTCTCTTGTTTCTCCCCCCCGCCCACCAAAACGAACTAAGGTATGCTTTTCTTCACGATTTCTATTCATATTTTTAAAACTCCAATTTCTCAATCAATTTCCAACTCTCCCCGTTCTCCTCGTTTTTAGAATTATTTTGTGTATTTCTTCTTACAATTGCAAAGCCCAGGTTTCAATAACTTCACAGCATGCCGTTGATATTTTTTACAATCGAGAAGCCCAGATTATTATTATTATTATTATTTTTAATTTCTGGTTAGCAGAAAAATTCTTTGAGTTTTATTTATTAATTTTTATGACAATTGAACAACCTATTTTTTCCATAAAAGTCCTAATAAAATTTCCAATCTAGAAGGATAGTATTATAATTTCATACCATGGATATACTTTATTTAGTCTTTACACTGTAAATGTTAATGCAGGAATATTTTAAAATAAAGCATTACTTATCTTATCTTTTTCCTCCACGATTTGTAAGAAGAAAAAATCTTCTAGGGTTTCACTACACTTATCTTATTAGGACTCGTCACACTCTCTGGACACGTACTCACACAACTCCGTTTTGACTGACCCTTCCTCCTCTTTTCCTTAACTTTCTCGCTCTCAACATATCTCCTCCTCTCTGCTCTCTCGACCACAAACCTCTTCTCCTCCCCTCCATTTTGTATTTTTTATTTCTTTTTAATATTTTCAGTAGGCTTTTTGTTTCAGTTCCACTTCAACTTCTTACTATCACTAGTTCATAAATCAGAGTTATGGAAGGCCGACCCAAAGAAGTCCTCCCTCTATTGGTCTAGAGAAATAAAGAGAATAATGCATATTTCATGGGACTTCAAATCATGTTTTGGGGAATCAGAAGGGTTAATTTATTTAGATTTTTTTTTACACCGGTAACCGACATATTGTGCCTCATACACTTGTGCTTAATGGTTAAAATTCTGACATTTGCTTCAATGATTAAAATTCAGAGACTGGAAACCACCTCTTTCTTGGTTCCCAAAACATGATATGAAGTACAATGAAATATGCCGGAGAATCACTCCCTTGTCTTCCCTTGGGCATAGGAGCTGCACTTTAAGTGGTAAGACTTAAAAATCAAAATCTGTTCACAACTGGATATGGAAAATCAGACAGCAGGTGCTACCAGGAATTTTTTTTTTTTCCTTTTTTAAATATCTGCTGATCCAAAGAAAATGAAATTTGATAGAAAATAACTAGACACAGACTTACACATGTAAAAATTTTGAAATATTTTAAGAAAAACAGCCCCATGAACACCGAACCTAAAACCAATCCTGCAGCACATGAAATATTCGAGCAGCAACAATAATTTTTCTTTTCAACGCCTCAATTATTATCTTTACTTCACACAAGCTCAATAATTTTTCTTTTCAACGCCTAAAAAATGTAAGAGAGTTGGTGCACATTGCAACCACAATCTACATCATAGACTATGTCAATGCACCATGCATTTAGTAATAATTCACTGCTCATAAAGATAACAAGATAAAGCATATATATTATATTACAGAACAAATAAATGCATAAATTATTAAACTAACATGAATAATATTCTATCACAAACTTTATATAACCATTAGCACATACAGGAATCAAACAACCAGATGGGTAGGAACCCTTCTTGGGCATGGAGGAGGTTTTTGGGAGCTAGGTATTTTTTGAAAGAGGGTCTAAAGTGGAGAATTTGGGAATGATGCAAAGATAAAGATAAGGGATGATGGTTGGGTTGATGGATTGAAGGGTTTCAAAGTTTTTTCTACTGAATCAACAAATGGGCAAATTCAGTGGTTTCTCAACTTATTGATGATCTCTGGAATGAACCTCCAATTGGTCAACTCTTTAATCATGTTGAAAAGGAGTTGATCTTAAAAATTCCTCTTAGTAAGATGGGGAGTGATGATTGTCTTGTCTGGGGTCCTCCTAATGACGGTAATTTCACGGTTACCATGTGGGAATGGAGTTAAAGCTTAAGGAGAAATCTTCTAAATCCAACAAGTAAGTGTAGTAGGAGAGTGGTGAATTCCAGTTTTTTGAAGACCGTTTGGAATCTGAAAGTTCAACCTAAAATAAAGCACTTTCTTTGGAGGGTCGGGCTTAATAAAGTGACTATTGCTGACTCATTGTGCAAGAGGGCAGACCCAGTTGATGTGGTGTGTAGTTTGTCCGGGGCTGGCCCTGACCAAGGCAGTCTCCTAGGCCTCAAAATTTATAGGCCCAAGGATGATGGGCCACCACAAAAATAAATAAATAAATAAACATCACAATCACATATAAACAATAATAATTTTTTGGACTATTAAGAATTTAACATTTAAACAAGACAATCTGATTCATAATTCCAAACTCAATCCTAGCAGTTCACACCAATTAAGAAAGGACATATCTTCAACCGTTCAATATTATTCCTGAAAAACACACGAATAGCCATTTTGAACCGTCGGATTCACTTTTCCTCCCCACACCTGCATCCTAAATATATTTTTAGGGCAAATCATTACAGCCTCCCCAATCGCCTCCATCTCTCTTCTCGTTCTCAACTCTGAACTTGCCCCTCCCTCTTTCTCTCGCAACTGCAAACTACAAAATCTACAAGAATCAGAAGTTTAGAACCCATATATTTCAGTTTATCTATCTGTCTGCTAGAATCAAAAGCTCAAAACCTATTACCTATATCAAAACCCATATCGGCGTATCATTTCAGATTGTTCAAAAAATCAAAACCCATATCTTTCGGTTTCCATCGCCCGCTGTTCCAGTTCGGGTCCGTTCGCAAGCTTCAGCCGCTGGCCCGCTGTCTCTCAACTCTCAAGCTTGCCTCCCTGTCTCTCAGCAACTGCTAACTTGTATGTATGAGTTTTGTTTTAATTTTTTTTTTTTTTTTTTCTAAATCAATTAACCAAGGTCTGTAATTCTTGTTTTGCAAACTTAAATCCTATTTGGTGAATTTTTTTATGATCTTTTTTATATAATTTTTATTTTATGAATTTTAGTTATAAATATTTGTGAAGATAATGACTGAAATAGGATCTCCCTTGGATTTGAAAGACTAATTGGTAAATTTGGGTTGGATGTATGAGTTTTGTCCACATGATTTGCATTTCTATACAGGAGTGCCGTCACTTTGATGTAACATATATTAAATAATTTGTGTCTCTTGTGTGTGTTAATAAGCATGTATTTGTGTGTGTAAATAAGTATGTATGTGAGAGAGAGAGTTACCCTAAATTGACAACCAGATTCAACAAAGATAAAAGCCATAGTTTGACACATCACTTAAGATACCTTCAAAGGAAATGAGCAGAAAAGCCATGCCTAGACGGGCTATTGTTACTGCAGAGTGCGAATGCACAAGTAGTGATCTTCTTCTTTTTCATTCTAAAATTATGTAGATTGTGTGTCCTCAACTCTTCAGTGCTATATTCCATTTTTATTTTTTTGGGTAATTTTTTTGTGATTTTTTCATTATTTGTTTGTTCAAAAACCCTAAATTTTCATACTTATTTTTTCATATTGTGTAGATTAGAGAGAGAGAAGAAGAGGAAGTTGAGTGAAACCCAATTCACTTTGGTGGTCTATTATTAGGGTTACATTGTCGCAATTTTAAGGGTTAGACATGTCCCCTCAATCATCAGGTAGCTAACTTTTATTTTTCTTCTAACTTTTTGATCTTTGCTAGTATATTATTTTATTAACGTTTTGCATGCTCTCTTTATCGATTAAGATGTGTATAAATTTTGTGCTTTTAATATAGGTTTAATTCTTGCTAAGGGAGAAGCTATTTGGAATGAGTGGTGTCGGTAAAGAGTAACTGAGTAAGTCGATTTGTGCTTATTTTTTATTTTCTGTCTTATTTATTAGTATGGTAATAAGTCATTCATGGTTAAGCAATATATTCATCTTAGTTGTATTAAAGTTGCGATATTTATCCTGTGCCAAATTTTATGTACATAGCCTCGTTGGCAAACAATTGATATGCTAAAACGAATTCAAAGAAAATATTAACTGCTCAAAACATTAATTTGCTGCTCATTACCATTTTGGTCTGTGTAATGTGTGTGTGCCTTTCTGCTCTCTTTCTCCCCCTGATACCCTCAAACCAAATTCTACAACCCCATTATATACGGTGATACATTGGAGTGAACATTGTAAAGTGTAAATATGGATTATATGCATTTTTGCCGTTCGCAAGCTTCAGCCGCTGGCCCGCTGTCTCTCAACTCTCAAGCTTGCCTCCCTCTCTCTCTCTGCAACTGCTAACTTGTATGTATGAGTTTTGTTTTAATTTTTTTTTTTCTTTCTAAATCAATTAACCTAGGTCTGTAATTCTTGTTTTGCAAACTTAAATCCTATTTGGTGAATTTTTTTATGATCTTTTTTATATAATTTTTATTTTTTTATTTTATGAATTTTAGTTATAAATATTTGTGAAGATAATGACTGAAACAGGATCTCCCTTTGCAGGATTTGAAAGACTAATTGGTAAATTTGGGTTGGATGTATGAGATTTGTCCACATGATTTGCATTTCTAAACAGAAGTGCATTCACTTTGATGTAACATATATCAAATAATTTGTGTCTCTTGTGTGTTGTGTTAATAAGCATGTATTTGTGTGTGTATAAATAATTATGTATGAGAGAGGGAGAGCTATCCTAAAATGACAACCAGATTCAACAAAGATAAAAGCCCGGAAACTAGAAAAAATTAAAAAATAATTTTAGGGCAAATCATTTCAGCCTCTCCAATCGCCTCCATCTCTATTCTCGTTCTCAACTCTAAACTTGCCCCCTCTCTCTCTCCCTCTCTCTCCAACTGCAAACTATAAAATCTACAAGAATCAGAAGTTCAAGAACCCATATACTTAAGTTTATTTATCTGTCGGCAAGAATCAAAAGTTCAAAACCTATTACCTATATCAAAACCCATATCGGCATATCATTTCAGATTGTTCAAAAAATCAAAACCCATATCTTTCAGTTTCCATCGCCCGCTGTTCCAGTTTGGGTTTGCCATTCGCAAGCTTCAACCGCTGTCCCACTGTCTCTCAACTCTCAAGCTTGCCTCCCTCTCTCTCTCTCTGCAACTGCAAACTTGTATGTATGAGTTTTGTTTTAATTTTTTTTTTTCCTAAATCAATTAACCAAGGTCTGTAATTCTTGTTTTGCAAACTAAATCCTATTTGGTGAATTTTTTTATGATCTTTTTTATATAATTTTTATTTTTTTATTTTATGAATTTTAGTTATAAATATTTGTGAAGATAATGACTGAAACAGAATCTCCCTTTGCAGGATTTGAAAGACTAATTGGTAAATTTGGGTTGGATGTATGAGTTTTGTCCACATGACACTTTGATGTAACATATATCAAATAATTTGTGTCTCTTGTGTGTGTTAATAAGCATTATTTGTGTGTGTAAATAAGTATGTATGTGTGAGAGAGAGGGTTATCCTAAAATGACAACCAGATTCAACAAAGATAAAAGCCATAGTTTGACACATCACTTAAGGTACCTTCAAAGGAAATGAGCAGAAAAGCCATGCCTAGACGGGTTATTGTTACTGCAGAGTGTGAATGCACAAGTAGTGAAGGATGTATAGACCACTAGTCTTTTTCTTCTTTTTCAATCTAAAATTATGTAGATTGTTTGTCCTCAACTCTTCAGTGCTATATTCCATTTTTATTTTTTTGGGTAATTTTTTTGTGATTTTTTCATTATTTGTTTGTTCAAAAACCCTAAATTTTCATACTTAATTTTTCATATTGTGTAGATTTGAGAGGAAGAAGAAGAGGAAGTTGAGTGAAACCCAATTCACTTTGGTGGTCTATAATTAGGGTTACATTGTTGCAATTTTAAGGGTTAGACATTTCCCCTCAATCATCAGGTAGCTAACTTTTATTTTTCTTCTAACTTTTTGATCTTTGCTAGTATATTATTTTATTAACGTTTTGCATGCTCTCTTTATCAATTAAGATGTGTATAAATTTTGTTCTTTTAATATAGGTTTAATTCTTGCAGAGGGAGAAGTTATTTGGAATGAGCGGTGTCGGTAAAGAGTAATTGAGTAAGTCGTTTTGTACTTATTTTTTATTTTCTGTCTTATTTCTGGTGTGTGCATGGTTCCTATCATAGATTTTGTTTGATCTTATAATTTTTTCATTTTTATAAAATTGTTTTAAAAAATATTTTGTTTGATCTTGAAATGCAGCCCTTTCATAGATTCGAACATCGAACTGGAGCACGACAAAAAGTTACATTCTTATGGGCTGTTCATGGAAACTCACGCTGCATTACGAACGCTTAAGAGCCCTAAATATTTGTGTTTTGAAGAGTTGTCAAGTGACGCCATTAAAACATCCCATAATTGTTTGTTTTTGGCAATCTCCACCCTTAATATTTCCGGATTTTTTGTGGAAGGGAAACAAGCAGGGTATAGAGGAATATTGAGAGATTCCTCAAATTCTTTTTTGTACCACATCTATGACCAACTTCCTGGTGCAAAATCCTTGGAATCTGTTGTGCATTAGATCCTATAAAAAGGATACCGGCAGTTAGGAAAATAATTTTAGAAATTGACCATCAAAACATTGTCAAGGTGCTAACTTTTGCCGAGCATGCTCCATTGGAATATATATATAAGCTTTTAGTACAAAGATTGAGTTTAAAATCAGATTCCAGTTTCAAAATACATTGATTTGTAAATGATGGTTTTGCAGGCAAATTTTTGATAGGTTGTCAAACTTAAATATTGGAACTTTATAGGTAAGCTTTTAGTACAAAGATTGAGTTTAAAATCAGATTCCGTTTCAAAATACATTGATTTGTAAATGATGGTTTTGCAGGCAAATTTTTGATAGGTTGTCAAACTTAAATATTGACAAGCATCGGATCGTGTTTCTACATACTCAGGGCAACGGTACCACCAATCGGATGGCATATCTAGCTGCCAACACGAGGGTATACAGTTTTCTCTGTAAAGATCTTGATTTAAATCTACAAATTGGCTACGATAATGATGGGAAGTGTTCACGTTACGAGATCGTTTACAAAAATTGATACCGACTCTACATGATTATTGTTAGATTGCATCAGGGAGTTCCCACTCTCTTTGTAGCTACAGACCCTCATATATATATATATATATATATATATATATATATTCCCAGATGCTATGAATTGGTGGTATACTGCGTTTATGGCTGGGAATCTTCTTCCCAACAGTTATAGATAAATTGATACCGACTTTGTGATAGTTTACTCTGTTTTTTTGGTGCTCCATTTCCCATGCCTGGTGCGTTTTTGTTTATACAGCCTTATTTTTGCTGGGGTTCCTGGCTTTTCTCTTTTCAAAGGGGAATGCCTCTCTTTCCACTTATGTACCCAATAGTTTGAGTTAATGAAAATGTTAATTACCAAAAAATATAAATAAGACGTTTGCTTGCAAGCAGTGTTAGTGTTGTCATTGGGCTTGAGCTGAGAAACTATAGTTTCAGCGGCCACTGTGATGGAGCAGAAGAAACGCAAGCTAGTGATTATTTTACAGTTGGGTAATAATTTTTTCCATCTTATTTTCTTTCTTTCTTAATGCGTGTATTCTATGGTTCTAGATTTGTTTGGTTGATGGGAAATTTAGAAAAATAAAAATTGTGAAAAATTCATTATTGGGAACCTGAGAAAGCAAAGACTTGCTTGTCTTTTTAGCCTAAACCTAATGCATCAATTTCAGTTAGTCTAGAGATAATATTCTGTTCCCTTCTTTCTTGTCTTCATTTTGACTGAAAAGGCCTGCAACTAAACCGACGGATGTCTGCTTTGTTGGCAAGAAGAAAATTGGAAACTTCAGAGATACTAATTAAGCATGCTGAAACTTTCACTCGTTGATGGTAGTGTCGGCCTATGTTTTTTTGTGGTTTAGAAAGCTTTCAAAATTACGCGAAGGCCGAAACCAAAAGAAAAGGATCTACTAACACGAAACCCTAAAAATTAACCATCTCCTCTATAGATTTAGAATTCTTTTTCATCACCCAACAAAAACGATAGTTGATAATATAATTTCAAAGCCTCAACATAACATTCCTTCCTCCTCATCAAATGATCCTTTAACTCAATAACCTGCAGTACAACATATATTTATTATTAGTCTCATGATTCAGCTTAAATATTGGTTGGAAAAAAAATGCAGAGACCTCCATGAGATTAGAGAACTAGAATTGCAATAAGCATAAGTTGAACTTGCTAATGCAAAAAATAGTGGTATATGTACATACATGTGTGTGTGTGTGTATAGAGGAGACTGGGTGATGTAATTAGAAAGCAAAGGTGAGGCAAATGATTGTTGGTTCATCATGGCTCATTATGCATAGTAGCATGCGTGTGACTGTGGATGTGTTTAATCCTAAATTACACACATTCATGAGAAATATTAATGTTAGGTACTTAATTCTTCATTTATTTAGCAGCCCCTATGTCTGTTAGTGGATCTGTGGGCCTCTTGGACCTTATGGACATGGAAGGCCCAATTACTTGGCCCTTTTCAACTTCAGGTTGGGCTGTAGTATGACTTCAAAATTCACCCTTGTATCTGCCTGTGTTTTGAGTCTCTTGATACGAATACTGTCACACTGGACGATTGTTCTGTTTTTTTTTTTTTTTAATCACTAGTTTCCAACAAAAACTCTTTATTAGTAATGATTGACATTTTTTGCTATTTCAATCACTATTGTTCAACAAAAACTCTTAATTGGTGATGAATAACGACATATATTTCTCATTTCAAAGTGTTCAAATTAACAATGGATATATCAATCAATAATAATACTTTATCATTTTTCTTTGGACACCAAACAAAGTATATGTGAAATTGACATATCTCTCTCATTTCAAAGTGTTCAAATTAACGATGGACACATCATTCGATAATAATACAGACTTTCATCATTTTTCTTTTGACACCAGATAAGTATATGTGAAATTCGATACTCTCTCTCTCTCTCTCTCTCGGCAAGGTGCTAATCTTCTATGGCTAATTCAATTACTATTGTCCAACAAAACTCTTAATTAGTGATGAACAAAGATATATTTCTCTCTTTTCAAAGTATTCAAATTAACGATAGACACATCAGTCGATAATAATACATGCTTTCATTATTTTCCTTTTAACTCCAGACAAGTATATATGAAATTCGATGCAAAAAATTGATGGTGCCATAAAGATGAACTAGATTCAAACTTATAAATTGATGGTGCCAAAAGAGAAGAACTAAATGCAAATTTAACATTTGACATTATTTGAACAAAAATTACTTCCCTCAATGTTGAGCCCACGTTTTTTTTTCTTTTTTTTTGGGGGGGTGGTTTTGGTGGTGGTGGTGGTTTAACAACTAAACTCCACATTCTCACATCAGCATATGCTATACCAAATCATCATCATCATCAACCCATACTTCAATTAAAACCTGCCTAGCAGAAATATTCATTCATAAACTCCATCTACCATACAAAGAAGACTTTGAAGCAAACCTATCTGCAATCCTGCCTAAGAATTGTAAATGTTTTGTCTTCTAGATTGCAAAATTATAATTGGATTTTGGCTTATGCTACTCATAAGTTACTCCCCCTATTATACAACTATTCCTATAAAACAGACTACTAAGATTAAACAAGAGCTCACAGAACCCTCCACAAAAAGAGAATGAGGCCTACTGCAAAACCCCATGTTTGTTGAATACTGCACAATCTCCTTTCAGCCCTCCCATAGTACGGTTGGATCATGACCACGAATCTGCAGCTTCCGACTGAAGGTTCTGTTTTTGTGACCATTGAAACGTTCGGAAATTTGCACGCTTTTTCAAGCTGATTATTTATCTGGTAGTAACTATTAAATGCATATGAAATGTTCCCCCTAGCATCCAAATTCCCACAAGTTGTCTGGTAGCCCAGGCTTGTGCAGTCAGCACGTCCACAAGCATAGTTCACACTCGGTGCCACGTCTGGATCATCAGGCCTTACTGATGGCTTCATCACACACCACTTTCGCTCTAGATACTGCACACCCTTTCCTGGGACTAAAGCTCCCAAATTCGTGGTACCGAGGTTAAGCTGGTACTTGGCTAGCCCATCGAATGTAAATATCCCCCAGTGGCGCTCAAAATTCCCTGGCTGAATACTCTTGGCATCCTCATCAATCAAACTAAACAAGTAGGCATCAATGGGACCAGGTCTCATTGGGGTTCCTTTCCCGCCCGATATATGGGACATGAACCCTTGGTTAAACCGCTTGGCATAGTCTAGGTTAGCATTTGGATCTCCATCAGTCGGCCAACCAATTTCTCCAACTATTATGGGCAGATTTCCAAACCCATTCTTTTGTAGTGCCCACACAAGAGTATCATGATTTGCATCAAACATGTTGTAATAGGTTGTGCCGCCATCAGTTATAGGAGATGCATTGCCATCAAAGAACGCATACTCAACAGGAAAGTTGGAGTCTGTGTAAAGGCTTATGAAGGGGTAGATGTTGACGGTAAAGGGGCCACCATTATCGCTCAAGTACTTGACTATGGCAAGCATGAGGTCATGAATGTCGGCTCGGAAATCGCCGCCAGATGGGACGTCAGTTGAGCTCTCGTAGACATCAGCATTGAGGGGGACAGTGACCTTCACTTGGTTGCTAAGACCAGCCTTTATCAGCGCAGATTGGACGTTTTGGAGAGCAGGGAATGTTGTTGTGAGAAAGCTTCCGTTATATGTTTCCAAGAAAGGTTCATTTCCAACTGCGACATACCTGTAACATTAAAAAGGTTGGTTGCATAGGAGCAAGTCAAGAAAATGCTAGCATTTACACCACTCAAGAAGGCCATTTCCCTTTTGACAAACTTAAATTATATATGACACAGAATGCATCGATAAAAATGAAAGAAGTAAAGCTGCACATTTTAGCAAGATCATAAAAATGAGAGCAGGGAACAGTAAGACAATTATTTGAATAGGAAAGAAGACATAAAGCAAACAGATACTGTTCAACTGCCTTTTTTTAATCCAAAATTAGACCTGTATAAAAGAGTTATTTATGAACAAATGAAGAAAATTAAAAAATCAATATAATCTCACTTCATATGAAATGAAATGAACCATCATCCTATGCAGAATTTTCAAAATTTTCAAAAAAATGATGAAAAATGAGATTAAAAGAAAATAAAATTTTTTAAATCTGAAAGTTCAATTTTAAGAAATTGAATTTAAAACCCCATTTTTGTCAGTAACAATCTTGATTGCCCCAACTCAACAAATCCACTTATAATTATGATCCGCTATGACTATACTAGATAATTCAGAGGCCAATCAAGTATATCAGACTGAAGCAAAAACACATTAACCAGAAGGTGTGTGTATGTGTGTGTGTTTTTTTCCCCTTGACATGTAACCACAGAAGGTGTGTCTTTTATAAGTTGTTTGGTGATATATTACCATCTTTAAGCTTCTATGAGAGGTACTATGTTGAACACCATCTGTTGAGAGTAGGACACACAGTCCATCAGGATGCAACTAGCACTTCCCTGTCATTACAAGATTACAAATTCAAATAGAAGCGGCACTACAATAAATTGTAATTCACTAAAAATTCAAACCAGTTTCAAGATATTTGTACTTTATTTGATCTGCAGTCAGCAAATGAAGTACAACTTGCAAAAAAAGATAAGTAGAGTTAATGGCCAGTAATGGTGTGTTAGAACCAAATGGGAAGGTTGGAGGATTTGATAAAGCTGCTGACGAGGATTTCGTCCTTTGAAAACAAATTCCATTATGGCAGCCAGTTATTTTATCATTGATAGGAAGCCTCATCATTCCCACAAGACAGCTGCAAAACAAGATTTTTACGCTCTTAGTTTTTCAAATACCGATCCCTCATTAGCAGCTATATTTTAATCCTCTACCCTTCCTTTTTTATTTTTTGGTTCTATAACCACCATTACAGGCCACTAACTCTCTGTTCTTCCTTTTTGTTGTAATCTGTACTTCATTTCGGAACAGAAGAACAAAACGTACAAATTTAATGAAAATGGGGTGAATTTTTAGTGAATTTTGTGATTCTTATGGGACTTAGAAATTCTTCCAGTGCCACTACTTGTACTAATGGAGCCTGGCTAAGAAAAGGTATAGTATGTCTTCAGATGTCATAATATGGATTTACTAGTCCGTCTCGGGATTTTGCATTCCTATACAATTTACATTCAACTTAAGATCCGCTATGGAGTTGGTTTTGTGTGTCACTAGATATTTTTTAGATTGTTAGCAATATTATTTTTTACATTTCAGTGATTTCACCCAAAAAAATAATGATAGAGCAGAATCACAAAACGGGAACATGGAGCCAACAAATTTATTTAAGAAAGGCTTCCATTGAATTGAGCTGTAGAGTCGAGTTTTAGCCCCCCCAAAAAAGGAACTTTATTTTGTGCACATGTGGGAGTGAGTTTGTGCATATAAATTTTGATGAGAACCAAATAAGACTGAAAAATATGGAATAATGTAATATTGTAAAGCAAAGTCCAAATTTGTTAATAAACAAGCAGCAATAGCAATCTCCAGAACACACCATCATACTACTAGCTACACCTCACCTTCTGATAAAAAAAAATAATAATAAATAAATAAAATAAAAAATTAACATAATTCTATTAGGTGTAGTGTACCATTTCTTAAATTAACCACAACACAACAATAAGGATGCTACTGACAAATCAGTTACATATTGAGATCTAAATTTAAAAAAGACATAAAATTAATCTAAATTTTCAAATTAGCTTCTGATTATATCTAATAAAATTCAAATGACAGAAATAAGAGAACTAAAAGAAGGGTGAGATAGGAGAAGCTGACCTGATGTTGACATTATTGGTGGTGATATGAGTAGACACATTTTTGGAAACCCATTTCTCAGCATTCTTCACACTGCTAGCAAGAGAAGCAAGCATATCATTGGGGATACCAACCATGACCTCAATTCCAGAATTACCCAGAGCTCTTAATGAATCGTAATTGGCGTCGAAAAGCTTAACCTTCTGAATCCCATTGTCCTTCAGAAGTTTCACCACAATTCCTGGTGGCAAGGGATGTGTTGCCTGTGTGCCCCAATTAGCACCAATCCCACTCACTGAATTGACAAATGTAGACACTGAAACTAAAATTAGTCCAAAAGCTACTGAAAACCACCCCATAATACTCTAATCTCTATCAATCTTCTAAGCAAATAGCTCATGTGAAAAGTAACACCAATTTGGGACTTGAAATTAGAACACTCTTAGAAAAATTAAAGAGCTTTTATTGACTGACAATGGGTCTGAAACTACTAGAGGTTTAGATAGACTGTGCCCAAATTGGGACAAAAAACAGAGGCAGACATAACAAGAGCTCAAATTTAGTAATGATTATGGGTACAAAAATGAAGATATTGGTTAGGAAATGCAGAGAAAAAAATTAAAACCCAACAAAGAATGATCTGAAAACAACTAGAATTCCACAAAAGGGTGAAAAAATGCGACGGCTTTTTTACCCCAGAAAATCACATCAGAACTGAAATGAAGTGTGACCCATGTCTGAGATGGCGTTGAGGTTAAAAAATGAAAATTTTACAACACATAGTGATTATATAAACCCAAGAAGATTTAAGGGTTTGTTAGTGATGATAAAGAAAAAATTATATATCAAACCTTGAGATTTTGATTTTTTCTTTTTTTTTTTAACAGCTTACAGGTTAACACAAGATTTTAGTTGTAGATAAATACTACACAAAGCGCACAAAAAAAAAAAATAATAAATAAAATAAAATAAATTTGATAATTAGGGTTATTGAAGTTGTTGAGATGGGTGTGAATGCAGAGGACTCAAAAAGGGTAAAGATGAAGCTTAGGTAGCAAAGAGAACAAACTTAACATTGTGAAACAAAAAGAAATTAAGAATGAAAACCTAAAAGATAAGATGATAAAAAGGTGGAGGCAATGAGGCTAAGAACAAGTTGAGGATCCTGATCTTGAGTGAGAGATGAGCTCAAGAATATCTTTTTTTCTCTTTCTTTACTTCTTTTTTCTTTTTCTTTTTTTTTTTTTTAATTTCTGGAAAGCTCAAGAATTCACTCATACAAAAATTAGCAGTACTCTCTAGAGAGAGAGAGAGAGACAGACAGACAGAGAGAGAGTAGCGTTGAAGAAAAAACAATAGTAAAGCCAAAAAAGTGAGAACATGGGGTGTGTTTTTAGTAATGATTCCTCAATTGTCTGGATCCTCCTAATGGTGTTCTCTGTTGCAGGCTTGCAGCTTGACATAAAATATTTCAACAAATTTAAATCCATTTATCCTATATTTTAACGTATGCTCTGTGCTGAAATTTAAAATAAATGTATAGAAATACCTTTTAACTGTATTGAATTTTTTAAAAAAAATTATGGTAATTTTTATTTTTATTGTAACGCATTTAGATAGTATTTTAACGCATTTATTTTTAAAATTACGTATAAAATATAAAATAAATATTTTGTTAGACAGGACATCTATTTTAAAAGGTGGAGTACGTTAAAAATCACCATAACCCTAATATGGAGATCCGGATTCATCTTCTCATATCATAAACGTAAAAAAGAAAAAAAAGAGAAGGAAATAAATGAGCAGTGAATGAAGTGTACCATCTTTTTCACTAATGATCCAAAGGCGACCCAACAGCCAACATCTTTGTGTGTTTTGTGAATTGCTACGTTGTGTGTACCGGGAGACAGTGAGAGCCACTTCATAGTGACTTTCAACAGTGAATCTTATTCTACTGAAAATGACCTCTCAAATCTACTTATTTGAAGTCACATTGCATCGTAGAGAATCTAAGTTCTTTTGATTTTTATTTAATTATTTATTACTTAATGAGTAAAACTTAAGTACACCATCTCTATTAATAATGTGGGCCAATAATAAATAGACATGCCATCTTTAATAACTAAATTTAATATGTTAAGTAAATACCCACTATTAAATCATAACCAAATTACAAAAATGGTGATTTATTATTAGTCCACATCACTAGTAAGAATAGTGTAAATCTTCATTAGTGAGAACCTAAGTATCATTCTTACTTAAATGACATGATTTTAAAGCATCAATTTAAATTCTTACAATTTTTTTTTATATCATTGCCAAGAAAAAAAAAAAACCACACGCACCACTCATTTTGCTCTTTTTAAAAACTCAAATTCTTATAAGTCACTTTTAAAAATAGGATAGTTACATTACATTTTATTCAAACTTACACCTAGGGGTACAGCGTGGGCTGGCCCAACCCAAAACTGGGTTGGGTTGGGTCAACTTGAATTGCACGCAATATGGGTTGGGTTATGACCTGGACCAAATATGTTCGGTCGGGTCGAGTTCACGGGTTGATTTATTTATTTCACGGGTTGATTTTTTTTTTTTTTTCCCCATATATATATATTATATTTTTAGTAACTAGAATCAGAAGTTCAAAACCCCATATATTTTAGAAGTTCAAAACCCATATATTTCAAACTTTTAATTTATCCATCTGTCTGCAAGAATCAAAAGTTCAAAACGGGCATATCATTTCAGATTGTTCAAAAAATCAAAACTTATATCTTTCACTTTCAAGCTTGCCCCCTCTACTTATAACAATTTCAATAATGAAAATGCCATGGTACAATATGTGTAATTTAGACAGTAAATCAAACTTTATGCTACTTTTTTTTCACAAATATAAAATAATAAACTTGTAAATAGCACATTAATGAAGGGACTAGAGAGAGACCATGTAAGATCCATGATAATCAAAGAAAAATATGCTAAAATATATTTAAAAAATAAAAAAGACAGATGAATTTTTTTTTACAGATTGCACTCCACCTGTTTAATCTTTTAAGTAGAGTGACAGGGTATTCATAAGCATACCATTTCTGCAATAATTGCAACATTTTTTTATCAATCTCAGTGGAAACTTACAAAAATAAAGTTTAAATTTTGAATGCAACTTCCAAAAAAATTGTCCAAAAACGAATCTATAAAGTGAAACTGATGTAAACCAGTACTCACTTTACCCAAGATGTCAATAACCCGAGTTCACTTTCTTCTCCATTGTTAAACCCAACCCCATCGCTTACACAGTTACACTCCTCAGTCTCTTCTTATATATATATATATATATATATATATATATATATCTACACACCTGTGTCTTCAATCTAGCAATATGGCCACTCAGACCCACTCACTCTATTCTCTATTCATTTCCGTCCCACTCACCTATAAAAGCTCACGTTCATCAATCCCACTCTTGAAGTTGAAACCAAACACTCTGATTATTGCCGGAAAATCTGACCCACGAATCTCTGGCCGCAAGCTACGCGCCGCCGTCATCGGCAGGGGCCAGCCGGATCCTCCGCAACTGAAACCCTCGCTGCCGCCGAGATCGAGACCTTCCTCTTCGAGCGCAGCCCCAACGGCGCCAAGCCCTAAGTTAGGGTTTGTGACTTTATGTTTATCATGGATTATTATTTTTATTTTATTTTATTTTTTTTTATGAAATGTTTAATTTGGGTTTTCGGGTTGGGTTCGGGTTGAACCTGGTCCAAACCGAATAAGGTTGGGTTTTGAAAAAATCCAACTCGACTTAAACCCGAATTGTAAATTTATACGTCCAGATTTCAAAATTTATGAGCTGGATTCAGATTGGGCTGGGCTAGCCCGCCTAAGTTGCACCCCTAATTACATCACATTACTTTAAATTTGATCACAATTAATTCAAAATTGCACCACCATTATTTCGAAATAGAAATTTTGTATACGAAAATTTTGAATTAAATTGATATAATTTAAAAAATAAGGTTAATTTTACTGACACACCATCAGGTTTGACCAAATATCACATTAAAATACTTTTTGAAAATTACACTTACTCACACCCCAAATCACTTTTCCGTCATTGACACTATTAAAATAGGTGTTAAGTGACATTTTTACTCTTATTTTTAATTGTCTTTTAATTTAAAACATCATAATTATATAAGGACAAAATTACTCCCATCAATTATCCAAGAGGAAAGGGTCAAAGGGGTATTATTTATTATTTATATGACATATATTTCCTATTTTTAATGTGATATATATGAAGAATTAGTGTGTGTGTGAATAATTAAGCAATTTATTTTCTGAACTTTGTTGGATTTCTTGTAATGTAATATATATATATATATACACATACATACATATATTTCTGAGGGTATTTTGGTTACTTAGCATGGGTTCAATAGGAATAGAAATATCATTTTATATATTAAACAACCCTTTACTAAGTTAACACAAAGTTAAAAGGTAATAAAAAAAAAGTGATGTGACACATCTCAAAATTAATTTTAAAGTGTGATTAAAAAATGGACCAAATATTTATAATGTAAATAATAATTATTTTTAAAATGTATTTCAATATAATATTTTAGATTTCAGTGTGATTAACCTTGGTCAAAGTGATAAAGTGATACATACAATCTCAAAATTAAAGTAGTGAAAATTTAATATTGAAAATAGGTGCTAACAGATAACCACTTCTAAAACGCCGTCGTTCTAACAGTGGAGATAAAGCGAATAATATTACGTGTTTTGTGGCTCGCGATTTGTGTATACAGTGGGACATATTGCTGTAGGTGATGTGGTGGTGAGGATTTTGATCCTATTCCTAGGACTCGTAACCAATTTGTTTACCAAAAGAAAAAAAGAGAACACTTTAGCATATTTGGTACACGTCAGATGCACGTGGACGCCACTAATGGACGAATGGAATATTTATTTATTTTTCAATCAAAAGAAATGGTACAAGTATATAGTATTCTATATATATAATGGTTCAATTCGGTCTTGTCTCAAACATTCTTAAGACAACTGAACGCCATTAATTTGGATGAAAACACCACTTTTCATCCTAATTGCATGCGTTAATATGCTTATTGTGCTAAAATAATCATAAATTTGTTTTTGTGTGTGTGAATACTGAATAGAGAGACTAATTATGCTTATTGTGCTAAAACAATTATTGTTATCAATCTATTCAGTCAATAAAAAATAGTCACTTTGAATTACAATGGGCAAGGGAAGCAATGGCAGAAAGGTTGATATAGCATCTGAATTAGAGACAGTGTCTATTAATTCTCTTCCTTTGGGTCTCCAATGGGAAGAACAGAACAGAGTCCTGAAAGGACTATTGCAACTTTAAACAAAGTAACAGCAGCTGTTTGACTCACCATTCTAACAGCTACAAGAGGACATATTAGAGCAGCTCCATTAGTGCTCTGGTTGGTGAAAATGGCCCAAATTTTGAAGATGGCTTACTTCAATGGAATGTTGAAAAAGTGGCCACCAATTTGTGATCGTCAAGGAGGTCACCAAAAAGGGCGATTGGGAAGGCGATTGTGGCTCACTTTTTGTGGGCCCATTTTTATTTTTATTTTTTTATTTTTTTAATTCAGGCCCAGAACACTATATCAGCCCAGAACACTGTTCCTAAGGGCATGTTTGGCTGAAATAAAAGCTAAAATTCAAATTTTTGGCTTACTTTGGTCTCTTTTTTTTTTTTTTTTTTCTTTTTTTCTTCAAAATAATTAAACCAAAAAACCGTTAAGGTACTGTTTGACTGACACAAACAGTGCCTTAAAGGCTTTTTTTGGATAAAAAAAAGTTTTAAAAAATTGGAAAAAGGTGATTTTTTTTCGTTTTCAAAATTTCAATGTTCCTATTGACATTATAGCCGTTTTAGGTACTGTTTGGCTGACCCAAACAGTGCCTTAACGGCTATATTGGCTAGCCAAATAATTTTTTTTTTTATTTGATTTCCCTAACAAATTGAAATTTATTTTAAAATATGATTTTTTTATTAAAAAAAAATGTGTCTTTGTTTTCACTATAAATTAATAAATTAAATAATATTAGATATTATATTGTTTACAAGATTTCATACATATTGGCTAAATAATTTAATCAACAAATAATTTAATTATTTATTTCAAAATAAAACATTACACAATAAATATTCCATTACATAAGCTTCATAATAATTTAAAAGTAAAATAATGCAACATAAATTAAACACGTTCTTCACCAAAGCGGCTCCACAAATTTTTAATTAAATCTTTCCTCAACCGCGTATTTGTCTCTTTGTTGCGAATTTGGACTTGGCGAAAGTAGATGTGTGTCGCTAAGACTGATGGATTTTGAATTAAAGTGGGAATCGAGATTGTCTCCTCCCGTGGCGGAGTCCATCTTTCAACATTGGCATAGCGCTCATCTTCAATGATCATGTTGTGAAGGATGATGCACGTTTCATTATAAGGCACAAGTCCCCTTTATTCCAAAAACGTACTGGTCCTTGCGTTATTGCCCACTTGCTCTGCAAGACCCCAAAAGCTCGTTCCACAGTTTTCCTATAAGCCTCTTGTCTTTGAGCAAAAAGTTTTTCTTTTACTGTAGTTGGGTGCGGGATGATCTGTATCAAAGTTGCTCACTTAGGGTATATACCATCAGATAGGTAATATCCCATTGTATGATAATGGCCATTCAAAATGAAATTAACCGGAGGAATTTGGCCAATAACGATACTGTCGAATATCGGAGAATGATCCAGTACATTAATATCATTGTGTGAACCCGGCATTCCAAAGAATGCATACCAGATCCACAAATCTTTTGAGGCAACCGCCTCCAATATGAGTGTAGGCGTAAGAGAGCGTCCTTTGTGCATGTCATGCCACGCCACCGAACAATTCTTCCACTCCCAGTGCATACAGTCGATAAAACTAAGCATACCCGAGAATCCTCTCTCTTCCCCCTTCTTGAAGTAGTTGTGCTATGTCGGCTTCGTTGGGTAGGCGCATGTACTCTTCCCCATACACACCAATAACAGCCTTACAAAATGTCATCAGGGTTTCAATGGTAATGCTCTCGTCGATTTTAATATACTCGTCACAATGATCGACTGCACAACCATATGCGAGTATACGTATTGCAGTTGTCATCTTTTGCATAGAAGACAACCCCAAACGACCTGTTGCATCCCTTTTTTGGATGAAGTAGTCGTTATGAGCTTTAACATCATTCAGGATACGAAGAAATAGTTCTCGTCGAATCTTGAATCGTCTGTGAAAGTACTTCGGTGGATATGTGCAATTCTCGTCAAAGTAGTCTTTCATTAGTTGACGATGGTTTCCCTCTCAATTACGATGAATGTACCGCTTCTTACATGGTTTAAAAACTTGCTCTACTATCTCTGGGTTCATTGAATTCAAAATCTCACGAAAGGCGTCTTGATTACGTTGAATCATTGAGTCAATAGGGTTATCTGATGAAGAGGATGATGATGAAGATGAAGAATTAGAGCCTGACAAAGGAAAAAATCGTGATGAGGAAGCCATTGGAATTTTGAGACTAAAAGAGATGTGAATTAATATTTTGCTAGAATAAGTTGAGATGAATGTAATGATGATGAAATGAACAAATGATTGTTTATATAATATGAAAAATATAGCAGTTAAGAAAAAGTTAAAAAATAAATTTTATTTTAAAATTTTAAAATATTAACATTTTTGAAAAACGAAAATGCACCATTGGAGTACATGTGATAACTAAAATTTGGAGACTCTAAAACGCTAATGTGGCTATGAGAAATGCTGATGTGACTATTAAAAACTACTAATGTGATAAATTCGGAGAGCCAAATTTTAGAGAGTCTATTGGAGATGCTCTTATTCCCCCCAATTCTTCCTATAGACGACGCACTTCCAATCAGGCACGAATTTACTGTAGGCTAAGTGGGACATATGCCCTTACTGAAATTTTTTGTTATTTTATTTTTATACATACTTTCCCCCCCCCCCCCCCCCCCCCCCCGGGATATGCCTAGACGTTGAGATATGCCTACAGATACATAACATGGTAAAGGAGGGACAAAAGTTGCATAAAAATCAGTAAAGTCCTCCTCGTGTGGAAAAAAAAAAGGCTTTAGAGAAGAATACTGGACGTTGAGATGTACCTCAGCAGCATAAATAGAGACGACTCTGAAGGCCGTTGTAATGGACATGCGAGCTCCAAAGATCAAAGTTGTTGTCAATGTCTCATGTTGATGGGAAAGCAGTGGCAGAAGTAAAATGAAACCTAACACGAGCATAATTTCAATGGAAATTTTGCGGCCAACCCAATCCACAAGTATGGCTGATAAAACAAGCCCAGGAACCTCTGCATATAAACTAAAGAAGTGTTACCTAAGATTCTTCGGGCAAAAGAAATAAAAGGAAAATAAATCAAGTATGATCTTTCAAAATATTCTTCAACATAACAACTGAAAAATATAAGTAGTACCTGCCAAAGTAGTGACAAACACGTCTACGTAGAGGCTAGCATCCTGGATTTTTTCTGAAGGCAATGGGATTGAGCTACATTTACTTTTCCCACTGCTCAGCTCGGAGGTAAGCAATATAATGCCATAATATGAAAATGTATTGCAAAAGTATATTAACCATAGGAGAAGGGTGGTTGTAATTAGTTTTGTTGAAAAAAGCTGAAACAATGAAGAGGGGCTTTTTTTGGAATCCTTGATTTTTTTTCTTGTTGAGGAGCGCAAATGAGTGTCTTCCAACAGGACAGATTCTTCCTCCAGCTTAGTTATTTGAGCAGAAACAAGCTCACCGGGAGGGAGATTTGTTCTGTTCAGCAGTGCAACCTTCTCCAGTACATCCTGTGCTTCAGCTGTTCTGCCTTTCGTATACAGATACCTTGGAGATTCTAGTGTAAGACCATAAAATAGAAGCAAAGCAAAAGATGGTGCAGAAGACAGTGCAAGTAGCCACCTCCAACCCAATCTTGGCATGACAATCTGCAATAAGACCAACAAATTAATGAAGGTTTTTCCGGTCTTGCCTACTAAAAACACATGCCTAAATGATGCTTCAACAAAATGATTGTTTCTTTATGGAAAAAGAAAAATTAGTCGAATTACTAATATAGCAATAGTTGACACCCTTGCAGCTAAGACCAACAATGAGCTAGATCCACCACAGAGAGGGAGGGAGATATAAGTGGACAGAGATACAAGAAGTTAAAGCATTAAAATCCAAGAAAATTTACATCGGCAAGAACAACAAAACAATGCATGCAACCCATTTTTATTCCTTGTCTAATTACTTAATTGAAGGCTATTAAACATACCCATGCAAGTGCAGCCTCAAAAATTGTTCCAAGCGTCCAGAAAGTTGAAAAGATAACCATCCAACTGCCTCTGTTTGCGGTAGGAACAAACTCTAGAAACCATGTTAGTAATACATACCCACCTCCCAAACCAGTACCAACCAAACAACGAAGAATCACCAACCATATATAACTTGGGGAGAAAGCACTTAAAAACCCAGCTACAGTATTCACTACAGCTATACCAAGGAAACCCTTCCTGAAAGAAGCAAATGAAAGCATATCACATTGAGGTCGAGAGCAATGCTATGAGAAACACGAAGAAAATGTGACACAGGTTCACAGAAATCCATAACAAAGAAATTAAACCTAATGGTACATAATCCCAGATCAACTATTTATGTCAACACATATATAATTTATTATGCTAAACAGTTCAGTACTAGATCCACTTTACCTCATGTCGCGTTTAGGAGCACCGAATTGGTGCCTTGGAATCAGTGCTCCTAAATATAGCTTTAATTTACTCAACTAAGCTTTGATATTTGGTTCAACAACCTGATATACGTCCAAGGCTCCAAGCAGTAGCGAACTTTACATGGTATAGCGTATGAGTAGAGACTAGAGAGTAATTTCATACACATCTACATCTTAATTGTAGCAAATGTACAGCATCATCAACAAAGGTTAGCGTACAGTTTATAAGACATGTTTCACTAATACAACTGAAAATTCATTCATGATACGTGAATAACAATAGGACCCTGCACAATGGTACTGCACCAAAACACAACGTTTCGTATACTATAACTATGTATATTCATAAAATAGAATCAAGAGAAATTTGTTGCAAGCAAAAATCAGCTGACTAGGATCCAAGTAGAAGCATTCTATGAATCTTATTTTCAGTCCTTTGTGTGACAGAATTGACTGGGGATGTGTTTGCCCAAACTAAATATTGATAAGGAATTGTGTAGAAAATCAGAGAAATAATATAAAATCCCGAATCTTTCAATGTCATGAAATCTACCAGGTTCATATAGAATAAGCAGATTCTAGTAGACAGCTAAATATCATATAAAGTAAAGCAAAATGATATATCATTCGCAATTACTTATAGATAGCTTGTATGTAATTACTTAGATAGGATCCTTTATCTCATCAGACCATAGCATAGCCTCTGGCTTGAAATATTTTGCCACTTGTCATGGATTATCAATTATCTACATATATGCTTTGCATTTATGGTGTTAGTTCACATACTTTGATTAAAGGCTAATCTCTGAAAGTTCCATTAGGTTGAGCAAAAACAGTGCATTCTACAATATAATAAAGGCTATTATCTTTTTAGTTGCTTCTGTTAGAATGGGGTCCCGGGAAGGATATACTGAAACAGATCAAACCTCCAGCTGAATTTGCACAAAGAAGCTGCCCTTAACCTTGCATGCATCCATATTATCATTCTTAGTAGGCTGAACTTTTACCAATGAATCAAGCAATTAATATAATATAATCATAATCATAATTTTTAAAATCTTTGTAAATCTTTATCTTTGAATAAATTGTTTGTTTTATAACTAATTATCACAGGGTCTTTAGGCTTCGACATGTGTGTCCAAAAATTTCCTTGTTTTAAATGGTTGCTACATTTTTATCGAGTGTCTCAAAGCTCTGCCCAGAATAAAATGACTAATTCACTTCTTTAAGTTTCTCTATTTGCTTTGGCCATCATTGACAGACTCGACTTCCCATTTTTCTGAATTAACTATTCTCTAGTTTACTGGGCAACATCAGCCTGCTACGAAACAATATTTGCAAACAGATTCCTTGACCAGAGTAATGACGACATCAACTGCAATGAAATTTTTCTATGTATAACTTGTGAAACGTGGAAGAAATTTTAAGAGTTCTTCAAAATTAAAAATTAGTATCTTTTATGTACCAAAAAGTAAAAAAGAATAATTGACATTTCATTGACCAAAGATAATTGACTTGAGAGACATGAAAGAGAGAGATGAACCTTACAATCAATAACATTGTAAACTTTAAACAGGATAATCAATTCTATCTGCTTCCCCAACATAAATCTCTAAATGCCAAAGAAAGCATATAAAAATAGAAAAAACAATGCAACTTAGCTTGAACATATTCCAAACTCCAAGGAGTAAAAAGGTAAGACAGATTCTTTTATATTTTTATTTTTTTCTAGTTTGTAGTTTACGCTCTTTACTTGGAATTTTAATGAAATTTCTTAGAGATGCCCAAATAAGATTAATTTCCAAAGCAGATGAACAATGTCAAGATAAGGTTCTAGAAAATGAGGAATCGCTTTAACTATAACTGAGCCACCAGTGAGTAGAGGCCTAGTGGAAGTCTGAGTTGTCACGTGAGAGGTCTTTAAAGAAGAGTCGAGGAAAAGGGGAAGAAAACTCTTGTAATCTCCCTTGGAGAAAACACAAGGTTGCTTGGTTCTTTAATGCTTTGCTTCTTGGTTGTTGTGTTTGTAAATGACCTATTTACTCCTTTTATACTGGGTTATCATTGGGTAAAGACCATGGGTTGTGGGAATTACTCACTGGTTCTTGGTTAGTAGGCTGCAAGGTAGAAAAAGGGAAATTATATGACCATTTCAAGGCAAGTTGTCTGCTTGATTAGGGCAAAAGAGGAGGACAAGCCATTTAATGCGACTATAAGAGGGTGTGCCTATCATTAAATGCAAGGGCTCCAGGGCTTGCCTCACTCTGGGAGTGATTACTTCTCTTTGTTCTTCTGTGGCCAGGTCAAAGAGTGCCTGCAGCCCCTCTGATGTCCCTCAAACCCCAGCGGCTAGGCCATCACTCCCTAGGGTCCCGTACTGGGGGTGTTATACCGAGGGTTTACCCCCACACAGCGGGGTGGCATACCTTCCTCGAGGTTGTCCATAAGAGCAGCTCCTCGAGGGCCTTCAGTACTTCCTAGAGGTTCGTCCATAGAAGAGCACACTCTGAGGGATTGAGGTTTATCCGCTGAGAGGAACTCCTCGAGGACAGAGGTTTGTCTAGAGAGAGGGACACCCCAGAAGATCAAGGCTTATCTGTAGAGAGGAACTAATAAGAGGATTTCAGAGGTTTATTCGTAGAGAGAAATTCAATGCAGTTATTAGTTGGCTTTGAGGCCTATCCACCGAAAGGAGGTCCTCAATAAGAAAGGTACTCTAGCAGCCACACTTGTGACACTCAACTGCTGAACTAACTAGTCAGAGAGAGAGAAGCCTAATGATCATGGCCGAGTTGGAAAGGTCTCACATGACATGATTCAGACCTTGAGTTGGGGGACTGAGTGCCACAAACAGAACAAATCATTATATCTCCAATAAAACAAAGGCGGCTTTAGGGTATGAGAATTAAAAGCTAAGCATTATATTTATCATCACATGAAGTAATTTAGACATGTTTTCTGTAACTTAAGAAGCAAATGTATGAGATGCTTTACTGTCTATATGACAAAAACATAGTACTATATAAAAAGGCATATGACTGAAAGAAGAGAAAAATATAAAATTTCCTACTTCCTTCCGTAGGTATCTGATATGAGGCCAATTGTATATGCTCCAACTAGCATGCCAGCAAAAACGACAGTTGATATCATGCTCTCTTCTGTAGAGGAGAGTCCCCACTCAGACTGAACTGCTGGCCCTATAAAGGAGAGAATCATTATTTCCATTGCTTCTGCAATCCAACCCAGTCCAGCATAAGCAAAGACAAGACCCTGGAAGTTCCCAAAACCAATCGCAGAAAGTGTTTCATCTAGTGTGTATACCAGGCTATGATCTGCCATCTAAAGAATCAAGAAAGAAAGAAAGAAATTTAAGATCGTACCAATGGTGCAAGCTTTATATATAATCAGCAAAGTCTCTATTTATTAACTACTAACATTGTAGCAACATGAAACAAGTGCCACAATGTCTACTTCAGTTGGTTAAGAACTTTCCTTACAGCTGCAGTAACACAAAATCATCTACACGAAGAGAAGTAAGAGATATACTTGTAAGTTACTACTATTGAGATGCATAAACGAATAATATTCGACAAAACCAACACCACAAGCATGATTGAGGAGTCATCATAGTTACTGACAAATTGCTCTGTTAGGTAGGCTCAGTAACTATAACAAGCATTGCACCTAGTTATCATTTTGTTGCTTAAAACCACTGTTAATAAGCATCCAAGTTAGTTTCTAGCAGGTGGGTCTTCTATTAATCGAGTTGGTTTTCATCCAAGAAGTTCCACAGTCGAGTTTATCTTCCAACTTGGGCTGTGATTGAACAAGAACTTAATGAAGAATGGATTCAGAGAACAAACAGTTGTATGCAATTTTTTTAGGTGACCATAAAATCAGTTTACCATGTAATTTGCCGATAAATTTGATTTCTTGATAAAATAGGTATAATGAGATCTAGCCTCACTGAGTTGCATAAAAATGTCCAAGGTCCAACCAGGGTACTCTCTGGTTTAGAGATAGGGACACTACTGGTCCCGCTACAGCAAGTCCTGTAGAGGAAGGACTTGAAACATAGTCTCTAATCCAAAAATAAGATTTAGTGCTTCATGTTTATATTTGAGAATAATGTCCTAGCAGATTGTAATCACTAAGCCGTATTCAGTTGGAAACTTGAGAACTACCTGATTTCAGTCCACATTATGATAATTGTTGAGTTTATGCTAGGTAAATCGGTAGCCTAGTGGTATCTTCTACTGTGACATCCTATTTATCAAAAAAATCTGGTTGAGGGGAGAGGTTGTTGACACTTATATATATGGATGTCTCCTAACAATATAGACGTAGACGTGTTTTGAAAACCGTGAGCACGAAGTGCAAAAAGGACGGGCAATATGTGTAGGGCAAGTGGTGGCAGATGGTAGAGTACATTGGATCCCAAGAAGGGGAGTACATTGGATCCCAAGAAGGGGTGATGGACTCCATCACCCCTTCTTGGGATCCAATGTGTGGATTTCTTGCTGGCGACAAAAATCTGTCATTTCCACAAAATTTATCATGATTTAAACTCAAATCCTGATAAATGTCACAGAAATTTCAGTTATTTCTGGAGAACTTGACTTCTGTATCCTGCAGTCTGTCCAAAAACTTAACCAATTATTTGTATTTCACTCTAATGCGTGTAGAGGAAACCTTTATTTTCAGATCTAGAACAGACAAACAGCTGGGAGTCGCAGTAAAAATTTATGAAGGAACAGCTTGTAATCAAATGTATTATTCAGACAATGAACCCAAATAAATATCCTTTTTTATTTCTTTTTTTTTTTCTTTTTCTTTTTTTTGTGGGTAAAAACGAAATGAGTAAAAACACCAGAAGCATATAATTGTTAGAACATAGAAACATGAGCTGAAATACGCATATATAGGACCAAAATGGTAAATATTTCAATAATCACAAACATTAGTTGCAATATTCAGGATGGTTGGAAATTTTACCAAATGAAAGCATTTGTTGCTGCAGAGTCAAACCCAGTGAAGAAACAGAGTTGGCAGCTTTCATCCAAACATCATTTGTATATGATGATTGCCGGTGAAGGGTCTGAAAGGAATAATATATATATATATATATATATACACACACACACACACGGAGTATTATATATATTTATATATGTATATGATGTTTCTCTTTAAATTTGCATTGAAATAGGCAATAATGCTTAAAAGTGTTGTGAAATAATTATAAAAGTCAACTCCCTTCTTAGGTTTTCGTTTCTTGACTCACCCCAAGTAGACTCACAAAAGATTCACTCCAAACTTAAATAATGTACGCAAAAGGTTGATTGATTCACTTGAACACCCACGGGTGTGTTGTAAAATTAAAAGAGTCGTTGAATTTCTTTAAATTAGGAGTGGGACTAAGGGAAGATTTAATCCAAACAATTTGTTTCTAAAAAAATTACTAGTCTAAATAAAATATTAATGGAATTGAGACTGAGTTTAAATTTTAGAATTCCAATTTATAAGTTTTACGAACCCGAACGAACAAAATACATGAAAATTTTATAATTGTTATATTTCTAAGGCTATATGTTTTTTTATATTATTATTTATAATTAGATGATTTATAATATCATACATGTGCTTGTTTTAAATGTTTTAAAGTAAAAAATATATATATAATAATTGAATTTTAGTTAAAGAAACGAAATAAGAAATAATATTAAATTTTAAAACATGTTATCGGTATTAAAAAATCGAATGGTTGATATATCTTTTATTACAAGTTATAAATTATTATCATAAGATTATTTTAAATATCGTTGTTGGTTGATGTTTGTCATAAGATTATATTACATATAGTTGTTGGTTGATTTTTGTCATATAGTATGACTGATTTTATTTCATTTCAAGTATATATAGTTATATATTATAGTATTTTATATTTAATAGTAAGTTACTAAAATTTTGGACACCACTTTCCATCAGACTTGCATGTGTTTAACATGCTTATTGTGCTAAAATACTCGCACATCTTGTATGTGTGTGTATGTGTGGAGAGAGAGGAGGACAGAGTAGTAATTAACCACTGCTAAAACAATTCATTATTGTCCTGAATCTATTAAGCTAGTAAAAAGAAGTCACTGTGAATTATTATTATATTATGGACAATGGTAGAAAGGTTGATAACTCATACAATGGTGAAGAGCAAAACCTTCTCAGCATTCTTTCCTTTATACAATGATGAAGAGCAAAACCTTCTCAGCACATTACAATAACTCATTCTGAATTAGATACTGTGTCAATCAATTCCCTTCCCTTGGTCTCTAATGGGAAGAACAGAACAGAGAGTCCTGAAAGGACTATTACAACTTCGAACAAAGTAACAGCAGCTGTTTGATGGCAACCACTCACCAATCCAACAGCTACAAGAGGACATATCATGCCCCCAATCCTTCCTATAGCTGTCGCAGTTCCGACCCCGGTTGCCCTCACAGAAGTAGGATATGCCTACAAATGCATAACATGGAAAAGAAGGGAAAAAGTTGAATAAGAATCAATAAAATCTCTAATCAAATAATATAGGATATTGAGATGTACCTCAGCAGCATAAACAGAGACAACTCTGAAAGCCGTTGAAATGAACATGCGAGCTCCAAACAACAAAGTTGTTGTCAATGTCTCATGTTGACGGGAAACCAGTGGCAGGAGTAAAATAAAACCTAACACAAGCATTATTTCTATGGAAAATTTGCGGCCTATCCTATCGACGAGTATGGCTGATAAAATAAGCCCAGGAAACTCTGCAAATAAACTTAAGCAGTGTTACCTAAGATTCTTTGGGCAAAAGGAAAAAATGAATCGAGTATGATCACAGTATAGTTCAGAATATTCTTCAAGATAAAAACTGAAAGACATAACTAGTACCTGCAAAAGTAGTGACAAACACATCTAAGTAGAGGCTAGAATTTTGCATAGTTTCTGAAGGCAAAGCAATTGAGCTACATTTACTTTTCCCACTGCTCAGCTCGGAGGTAAGCAATATAACGCCATAATATGAAAATGTATGGCCAAAGTATATTAACCACAGGAGAAGGGTGGTGGTAATTAATTTTTTTGAAAAAAGCTGAAACAATGAAGAGGGGCGTGTTTTGGAATCCTTGATTTCCTTTCTTGTTGAAGAGAGGAAATGAGTGTCTTCCAATAGGCCAGATTCTTCCTCTGGCTTAGTTAATTGATCAGAACCAAGATTGCCGGGAGGGAGATTTGTTCGGTTCATCAGCGCAACCTTCTTCAGTACATCCTGTGCTTCAGCTGTTCTGCCTTTCATATATAGATACCTTGGAGATTCTAGTGTAAGACCATAGAATAGAAGCAAAGCAAAAGATGGTGCAGAAGACAGTGCAAGTAGCCACCTCCAACCCAATCTTGGCATGACAATCTGCAATAAGACCAACAAATTAGTGAAGATTTTTCCAGTCTTGCCTACTAAAAACACAGTCCTGAATGATGCTTCAACAAAATGGTTGTTTCTTTTTGGAAAAATTAAATTTAGTTGAGTTACTAATGTAGGAGTAGTTGACACCCTCGCAGGTAAGAGCCTAAGACCAACAATGAGTTAGACCGACCATGGACAGAGGGAGAGATGTGGACACAGATACAAGTTAAAGCATTAAAAATCCAAGAAAATTTACATTGACAAGAACAGAAAAACAATGCACACATCCATTTTTTATTCCCTATCTAATTACTTAATTGAAGACTATTAAACATACCCAAGCAAGTGAAGCCTCAAAAATTGTTCCAATCGTCCAGAAAGCTGAAAAGGTAACCATCCAAGTGCCTCTGTTTGGAGTAGGAACAAACTCTAGAAACCATGTCAGGAACACATGCCCACCTCCCAAACCAGTACCAACCAAACAACGAAGAATCACCAACCATATATAACTTGGCGAGAAAGCACTTAAAAACCCAGCTACAGTATTCACTATGGCTATACCAAGGAAACCCTTCCTGGAAGAAGCAAATGAAAGCATATCACATTGGGGTCGAGAGCAACACTATAAGAACCATGAAGAAAATGTGCACACAGGTTCACAGAAATCCATAACAAAGAAATTAAACCTAATGGTACATAAAGCCCAGATCAACCATTTATGTATATATATAAATTATTATGCAAAACAGTTCAGTACTAGATTCATTTTACCTTATGTCACATTTAGGAGCACAGAACCGGTGCCTTGGAATCAGTGCTCCTAAATGTAGCTATAATTCACTCAAGTAAGCTATGATATTTGGTTGAACACCTGATATAAGTCCAAGCAGTAGTGAACTTTGCATGGTATAGCATATGACTGTATGAGTAGAGACTAGAGAGTAATTTCATACATATCTACGTCTTAATTGTAGCAAATGTATGGCATCATCAACGAAGATTAGCTTACAGTTTACAAGACATGTTTCAATAATACAACTGAAAATTAATGACACGTGAATAACAAGAAGACCCTGCACAACGGTACTGACAACAAAACAAAATGTTTAGTTTACTATAATTATATATATCCGTTCAATAGAAGCAAGAGATATATGTTGCAAGCAAAAATCAGCTGACTAGGATCCAAGTAGAAGTATTCTATGAATCATAATTACAGTCCTTTGTGTGACAGAATTGATTGGAGATGTGTTTTCCGAAACTAAATATTGATAAGGAACCGTGTAGAAAATCAGATAAATAAAATGAAATCCTGAATCTTTCAATAGCATGAAATCTACCAGGCTCATATAGAATAAGCAGATTATAGTAGACAACTTAATATCATATGAAATAAAGCAAACTGATATATCTTAATGGACCCACTAAATATTTTGCCACTTATAATGGATTATCAATTATCTCAATAAATGCTTTGTATTTATGGTGTTAGTTCACAAACCTTGATTAAAGGCTAATCTGTGAAAGTTCTATAAGGTTGAGCAAAAACACTGCATTCCACAATATAATAAAGGCTATTATCTACTAACGGGCCAGTGGCCTAGCGGTATCAACCTCTTACTTCCCAAAAGGAGGTCAGGGGTTCAAGTCTCAGAAGAGACAAGTGTGTGTGAGTACCAACTAGGAAAAAAAAAATAAAGGCTATTATCTATAGTTGCTTCTGTTAGAATAGGTTCCCGGGAAGGATCTACTGAAACAGATCAAACCTTCAGCTGAATTTTCCCAAAGAAGCTGCCCTTAGACTTGCATGCATCCATATTATCATTCTTGGTAGGCCAAACTTTTACCAATGAATCAAGCAATAGCTCCTTATGCTTAATATAATAGTATAATTAATCTTGTAACCCTCCGTCTTTGAATAAATTGCTTATTTTATAATTGATTATCACAGGGCCTTTAGGTTTCGACACGCGTGTGTCCAACAATTTCATTGTTCCAAATAGTTGCTGCATTGTCATCCAGTGTCTCAAATCTCTGTTGAGTACAAAATGACTAATTCACTTCTTTAAGTTTCTCCATTGACAGATTCAACTTCCCATGTTTTTTTGAATGAACTATTCTCTAGTTTACTGGGCAACTCAGCCTGCCATGGAACAATATTTACAAATAGATTCCTTGACCAGAGTAGTGGTGACATCAACTGCTATGATTTTTTTTGTGTAAGTTGTGAGACATGGAAGAAATTCTAAGTGTTGCTCAACATTAAAAATGAGCATCTATTATGTACAAAAAAAAAAAAGAAAAAGATAAAAAGAAAAAGAAAGAATAATTGACATTTCATTGACCAAAGATCATTGAATTGAGAGAGATGAGCCTTAATATCAATTACATAAACTAGAACAAGATAATCAATTCTATCTTCTTCCCAAAAAAAATCTCTATCTGCTTCCCCAAAATAAATCTCTAAATGCCAAAGAAATCATCTAAAAATAGAAAACACAATGCAACTTAGCTTGAACAGAGTCCAAACTCCAAAGAGTCAAAAAGGAAAGACAGGTTCTTTTTTGAATTTTCTTAAAGAAACCTAAATAAGATTAATTTCCAAAGCAGATGAACAATGTCATGGAAAGTTCTAGAAAATGAGGAACTGCTTTAACTATAACTGAGCCACCTAAGTAGAGGCCTAGTGGAAGTCTGAGTTGTCATGCAAGGGATCTTCAAAGAGGACTCGAGGAAGAGAGGAAGAAAACCCTTGTAATCTCCCTTAGAACAAAGACAAGGTTGCTTGGTTATTTAATGCTACGCCTCTTGGTTGTTGTGTTTGTAAATGAACTATTAACTCCTTTTATACTGGGTTATCCTAGGGTAAAGACCATGGGTTGTGGTAATTACTCACTGGTCCTAGGTTAGTTGGCTGCAGGGTACAAAAAGGGAAATGGTGTGAACATTTGGTGGCTCAAGGCAAGTTGTTTAGTTGATTAAGGTAAAGATGGAGGACAAGCCATTCATCGTGACTATTAGAGGGTCAGTATTGCATTAACTGCGAGGGCTCCAGGGACTGCCTCATTCTAGCATTGGCACCCTTTGACATCCCTCAAACCACAGCCACTAGGCCATCACTCCCTAGGGTCCCATGCTGAGGGTGTTATACTGAAGGTTTATCCCCCACATTGCGCGGTCAGCTCTGTTACATGGACTCTTCAAAAGTAGTGAAGTACTCGTGTCGGACACGTATCCCTCGGACATGGGTATGGGATATGTGTCCGACACCTTTGGTTGGACATGTACTTAAAAAGCATATCCAATCATTCAATTACATTATATTATTACTTTAAAATGAATTAAATACCTATATTGAACATTATATTAGATAAAAACATTACTTTACTCTAGAAAATAAAATAAAATCATTAATAAAATGAATATTTAGCCTTGTCCATGTGTCCTTTTGTTTGGTAATCCGACACATGGATACATACCCGTGTCTGACACTCGTACCCGAGTTCATGTAACATAGGCGGGGTGGCATCCCTTCCTCAAGGTTGTCCATAAGTGTAGCTCCTTGAGGGCCTTCAGTAATTCCTAGAGGTTCGCCCATAGAAGAGCATACTCTGAGGGATTGAGGTTTATCCACTGAGAGAAACACCTCGAGGATCGAAATTTGTCCATAGAGAGGAACTCTTCAATAAATCGAGGTTTATCCGTAAAGAGGAACTTATGGGAGGATTTCAGAGGCTTACCCATAGAGAGGAAGTCATCGTTGTTATTAGCCAGCTTTGAGGCCTATCCATTGAAAGGACGTCTTTGATAAGAAAGGTACCAATGGAGGGTCTTGGGGATCAATCCACAATGGTGCTTCAGTCCCTCTAGTAGCTACACTTGTGACACTTAACCATTGAATTAACTAGTCAGAGAGAGAGAGAGAAGCCAAATGGTCGTGGTTGAGTTGGAAAGGTCCCAGTCACATGGCATGATTCAAACCTTGAGTTGGCGGACTGAGTCCACAAACAGAACAAGGGCGGCTTTAGGGCGTGAGAATTAAAAGCTAAGCATTAAATCTATCATCGCATGAAGTGATTTATACATGTTTTCTGTAACTTAAGAAGCAAGTGTATGAGATGCCTTACTGTCTATATGACACAAAAAAAGTACTATATAAAAAGGCATATGACTGAAAGATGAGAAAAATAGAAAAAATCCTACTTCCTTCCGTAGGTATCTGATATGAGGCCAATTGTATATGCTCCAACTAGCATGCCAGCAAAAACAACAGTTGATACCATGCTCTCTTCAGTAGAGGAGAGTCCCCACTCAGACTGAACTGCTGGCCCTATAAAGGAGAGAATCATTATTTCCATTGCTTCTGCAATCCAACCCAGTCCAGCATAAGCAAAGACAAGTCCCTGGAATTTCCCAAAACCAATCGTAGAAAGTGCTTCATCTAGTGAGTATGTAAGGCTCTGATCTGCCATCTAAAGAATCAAGAAAGAAAGAAATTTAAGATTGTAACAATGGAACAAGCTTTATATTTAATCAGCAAAATCTCTGTATATCAACTACTAACATTGTAGCAACACGAAATAAGTACCACAATGTCTACTTCAGTTGGTTAAAAATCGTCCTTACAGCTGCAGTAACACAAAATCATCCTACATGAAAAGAAAAGAAGTAGGAGATATACTTATAAGTTACTTCTATTAAAATGCATAAACGAATAATATTCAACAAAACCAACACCACAAGCATGATCGAGGAGTCATCATAGTTAGTAACAATCGATCTGTTTGGTAGGCTCATGTGGAGGGAAAAAAACTCCCTCCAATAAAAAGCGCACACGTCATCACTACACATATCTACATTCCAAGGACATATAAGGCCCATCATGCTCAAGCCCAAATTAAGGGTATTTTTAGCCCAAGACCATTGTTATTTGTCCTCCAACCTCCATCAAGGCCGAATCAAGAGGTCATCAGCCCAACTTGTTAATATTTAACATCCGGTTCGTTACTCAAGCCCAGCCGGATACTTAGTATGTTCAGCCCAGTTATTCAAGAATGCACAAGTCCTACCAGTTGAAGAATTTACCGTAGAAGGAAAATCCTGAGATAGGAAGTTCTGTACAAGGCAAGTTCTATGTATGGAAAATTAGACAATGGAAAGAACTCTATTAGTAAAGAATGTTTATATAGAAAGAATTGAAGGGCAAGCAACGTGAGTCCTACCATAATTTTACAATCTTTTGTATATAAATAGAGGCTTAGACCTCCAATAAAGGGATCAAGCAATTCTACGCTTCTCTATACACTGTTCTTATTTATTCTTATTGTTTTTTGAGTGAGTTGTTTTATTTTTCTCAATCATTATTGGTTGAGCGAAATTTTGCACCTACACTTTGGCGCCGTCTGTGGGAATCGTATAAAAATATACTCCCACTTGTTCTTCAAATCAAATCCTTAGTCGTATCTGGAATGTCAAACGGAGAGTCAGCAATGAATCAACAGATAGAATTGATGCAAAAGATGCGAGAGGAGTTCTTGCACCAATTTGAGACATTCCGGCAAGCAAACGATACGAGTGTCGCCCAGATAGCTGCGCTTCAGCAGCAGACTCATACGCTGCACACGGCAATGGCCAGGCTAACGCCACAACCACCACCAGGCGATGCTGCAGCACCACCCCCCACCCAGAATTTACCTCCAGTTCACGAGCCTCCGGCCAACGGGACACCACCCAACGGGGCTCGACCTAATGAGGTTCAGCAAAAGCAAGGGACGAGGTCCGAGGCGGGTGCTTCGGATAATCTCCCGCGTAGCACACAGGACGAACAGGCCGAGTCCAGCCATAGGCTTACGGTATGGTCCAATGGCGTTTCAGATGGCGCACGGGTACAAGATGCCTTCGACGAAAAGAAGCTATTAAGAGTTCAGACACCAGCCGAGATGGCTAGAGAGCACAAGAACTCCTTGGTCAAGACCCCCTTTACTGACGATGTGTACCTTGTGGAGAGACCAAAGAAGTTCACTATGCCATCCTTCACCCAGTTCGATGGGGCAGGAGACCCCTCTTGGCATCTCGATCATTATGCGCAAAAGATGGCACTGGACGATCATAACGATCCGTGGATGTGTAAGGTTTTTCCTACCAGTTTGACCGAAGCAGCGTTAGAATGGTTCAGGAATAGGCCACACAAGTCTATCCCTGATTATGAGACCTTGTGCACTATGTTCTTAGCCCAGTATTGCGGAAATAAAAAGCAGAAGAAAAGTATCGCCAGCCTTTTCACCATAAGGCAAAAGAAGGGAGAAACTCTGCAAGATTTCTTATCCAGGTTTAACATGGAAGCCCGGAGATAGCAGATTGCCACCCTGCCACGGCAATCGAAACATTTAAGTTGGCAATGATCCAGGGAACCAAGTTTCACACATCCTTAATCAAATATTCCCACCCCCCCGGATATGCAGACTTTAAACGCTAGGGCACAAATCTACATTCGGTTGGAGGAAAACGTAGCCCACCGTGCACAGCACGCTACCCTCGTCACAGTGGAAAACAAGTCTCGAGAGAAAGCTGCAAGCACAAGGATGCAGAAGGTTCCTCATACCGCCACACAAGTCACCCAAGCGCCTGAGAAGAGGCGAAGGACAGAGGACAGGCTTACCCCTCTCCGTACTACCTTAGCGCGCCTATTCCAAGAGAATAAGACGAGGTTCGCAACTCCTCAACCCATAAAACAGCCCTTGGAGCAGAGTGACAAAAGCAAACATTGTGCCTACCATAGAGACTATGGGCATACCACCAATGACTGCAGGTCCCTTCAGCGACAGGTAGAAAGCATGATAGCGAAAGGAGAGTTGGTGGAGTATCTCGCCACGAAGGAGTACGTAAAACCTCAGGAGGTCAACCCTCGACGGGTAGAGGGCTGTCAGGTAAAGGTTATCCATGCCATACACGGAAGGTCAGAGGATGATGAAGAGTCTGAAGAGTTGTACAGATCCAGGCTGAGAGAGGCTCATAAGTTACGAAGATTGTCTTCAGTAAACACGGTTGCACCAGGCAGCATCAACATTGGATTCGGTAACAATGATCTGTCTAGAGTCCAGCGCCCGCATGAGGACCCCTTGGTCATTAGCCTCCTGGTAACGAATTATATGATCAGGAGGGTGCTGATAGATCCGGGAAGTAGCGCCAACATCATTACAAAAGCAGCTTTTGATCAGTTGGGGGTTTCACCATCGTCCATCAGGCCAACTTCCAGCCCCCTAATGGGATTTGATGGTACTAAGGTGAATCCGCTTGGGGTGATCAATCTATCCGTTACTGCAGCAAAGAAGACTCTGAAGGAGAACTTTGTCGTGACGGAGATTCATCCATCTTATAACCTCATTATGGGGAGAGGTTGGATCCATCGTATGAACGGAGTCCCCTCTACCCTTCATCAAGTAATGAGGTGTTTATCCCCAGATGGCAGGGAAGTCATCGACCTCTGGGGAGACTAGGTTGCTGCAAAAGAATGTTACATGCTAACGCTACATGAAGCAAAGAAGGCGTCGAAATCACCTCAGTTAGAGGCGAATCCCAAAGACGCAATCAAATAGCAGTTACAGTATCCTCTGCCCAAGTATCTCAAGGCAGAGGAAGAAGCCGAGGCTGAAGCACCTACCGAGGAGTCCCTCGAAGCTATAGAGGTAGTCCTCGAAGACCCTCAGAAGGTCACCTACATTGGCTCATCTTACACAGCCGAAGAGAAGGAAGCATTGATCAGGGTCATTCGGTGCAATTCGGATGTCTTTGCCTGGGATCACTCGGACATGGTAGGGATCGATCCTACGGTTTCGTGCCATAGTTTGAGGGTTAACCCAGAATTCAGGCCAGTCAAGCAGAGGCACCGACGGTTCGCACCTGAACGGAATCGCATAATAGCCGAGGAAGTAAATAAACTATTACAAGCAGGATTTATTCGAGAGGTGCAATACCCACAATGGCTCTCAAATGTAATAGTCGTTCAAAAGAAGAATGGGAAATGGAGGGTATGCGTAGATTATACCAACCTTAACAAAGCTTGCCCAAAAGATAGCTTCCCTTTGCCCAAGATTGATCAAATGGTGGATGCTACGACAGGTTATGAGAGGCTCACATTCCTCGATGCATACTCCGGCTATAATCAGATTCCCATGAATCCTGAAGATGAGGAGAAAACCGCTTTCATCACAGAGACGGGCACTTACTGCTACAGAGTGATGCCCTTCGGTCTAAAGAATGCCGGAGCCACCTACCAGCGACTTGTCAATAAAATTTTCAATAATCTACTGGGGAATACAGTTGAAGCCTATATCGATGATATGGTGGTCAAAAGTATACGGAAAGAGGACCACCCGAAGCACCTCCAGGAGGTCTTTGATACTCTCAAGAGGCACAATATGAAGCTGAACCCCACCAAGTGCTCCTTCGCCGTCTCGTCAGGACAATTTATCGGGCACATTGTAAATAAAAGAGGAATAGAAGTAAGCCCAGCTCAGGCAAAGGCACTCATACAGAACCGAGAGCCAAAAACCCGCAGTGAAGTGCAAGTTCTAACCGGCCGAATTGCGGCTCTCAGCCGGTTCATATCCTGATTATCTGATAAGTATAAACCTTTCTTTGATGCTATTCGATCCAAAAACAAAGATATGTGGGGACCTCAGCAGCAGGAGGCTCTCAATCAACTGAAAAGCTACATGACAAAACCCCCAATCCTTTCTGCTCCAACGCCCGGAGACACTCTCATCCTGTACTTGGCAGTATCAGCTGTAGCAACAAGCGCAATGTTGATCAAAGAAGGAGGCAAGGTTCAGCACCCAATCTTTTACACAAGCAAAACGATGACGGATGCCGAGACACGGTACAGCAAGACGGAAAAGGTAATCCTGGCGTTAATTTATGCCAAGAGGAAATTTCGACATTACTTTGAATCTCACAGCATAGTGGTACTTACAAATCACCCTATACGGGCTATCCTAGCTAAACCAGACTTGTCTGATCGAATTACAAAATGGGCTATTGAACTTAGCTCTTTTGATATCACCTATGCACCGAAGGTATCTCACAAGGGGCAGTCAGTAACGGATTTCCTACTAGAGTATGAAGATCAATCTGAGGAACCGACACTTCAAGAGCCGTACTGGGAGTTACGGGTTGATGGCTCTTCCAACCAGAAAAGGGCAGGGGCCGGGATTGACATCACAACACCCGAGGGTACCAAGCTGCAGCAGTCAATTTTGCTAGATTTCCCAGCTACTAATAACGAGGCCTAGTATGAGGCGTTACTTGCCGGACTTCAGCTAGCTAAACAGCTACAGGTACGGTGTTTAAAAGTTTTTAGTGACTCACAACTTGTGATCAATCAAGTGACAAGGCACTATTATCCCAAGGAGGAACGTATGAAGTCATACAAAGATGCTGTAGAGAGTGCCATCCGGGAACCATCCGGGAGTTCGATCAAATCGAATTCCATCAAGTACCACGAGATGAAAATGCCGAAGCAGATCGATTGGCCGCAGCCGCAGCCGCATCATCTTCAGACGAAGAGTTGATTCGGCTTGTTCCAATCGATGTTCTCGAAGAACCCAGCATTAATCCCCGGCAAGAGGTGATGGTGATCCCGGAAGTTCCA